TGCCTTCATTTTGATTGTTATCGAGAAATCAAAAAACGTAGGGGTGAGCATTGTTTGGTTAAAACAGTAAAACTGAATTGAAAATTTTGATCTTTTTTTTTTAATTTGGTTATTTTGGTTTTCAGCTAAATCAGTGTGGTTTCGATTTTAGGTTTAAAAATCCACTGAACTGAAAAAATGATTCTTATAGCTAACATAAATAATATTATAGGGAGAATGATGGTTCAGCCCAAGGTTAGAATTTGTAGGCCCAAAGTACTGTTGGGGTAGGTGCCAGCTCATAATTGATGCCAATTCACAGGCGGGCGTTGGTGCATAAAGTGTGGGTTGTTGACATTTTGAATGTTTATAGCTCTACAGTGGAAATCAGAAATCTGCATTGGGCTTGTCCATACTTTTCCGATTATTATATAGCCGATTTCCAATTTGATTTCTCTAAAAATTTCAATTTTTAAAATTTCAGTTTATTTAGTTTGATTTTTAACCATGCTCACCCCTTCAAAAATGAAATATTTTTTCTTCTTTTTTATCCTCTAAGTTTACTCTGGTGGAGGAGCATCCACCAATGATTTTATTTAAATGAAGATCATAAAAACAAAGGGGCAAGGCTTACATACCTGATCCTAGAACAGAGATACAAGGCTGCAACACAAAATTAAACAATCATGGGCATCCCAAACATCTAGGACTGCAATTTGGATAGGCTCGGGTTGGGCTTTCATCAAAATTTGAATGGGCCTGGCCAAAGGCCTAAGCCCAAAGCAGTGTAAAATGGTTTTGTGGTTGAACCTGAGTTGCACCCCTACAAAAGACCCTTTTGGGTGTATTTTGGTAAATGAACACTCCGATATTGTTATACATAGGCAAATTGGGAATTTTAAAATGTTTTAAATGCATGACAAAATCTCTTTTTTTTTTTCTTGGTTTTCTTTAGGCTATGTTTGGTTTTCCCTTCCTTTCCCTGCATTTTCCTTTAAACCAAACATAGCCTTAACATTTAACTAATAAATGGGGTCTAATTGTATAATTGTTTTTGAAATATCATGGGAAGAATATGGATAGATCAAAGTACAAGGGAGGTTAAAAAGCATTTTTGAAAAAAAAATACAAGGGAGGTTTAAGTAATTCACCCTTTTTTCTCTTCCACACAAGGGTTTGACTACAATACTGGAAAAACATGATAATTGAAAATTTTATGACCAATCAATTGGTATCATAAGTGTATTAACTAATCGTGTGGTATTTAACAAAATCCATGGGTGGGTTTTGATTGGTCAAAGCTCTTCTAGATAACCAACAAGGACTTCCTTTTGCAAGAGTATGACTGGAACTAGCACGTTGGATGACAAAAAGCTTGTCTTGTAAGACCTATGGAGGGGTCATATGAGCCATCAATATAGATATGGTCATGACCATGAGGGATATGTGTAAACTGTATCTTTGATGGCTGATAGGAAAAAACTTGTGTAGTTACAATACCAAGGTAGTTCTTTGCTCTATGAATAATGTCTGGGGGCGAATTATGGGCTTTAAATATTGTTTTGTTCCTAGCCTCCCAAATAAGATATATGAGTACACAAAACCTCCCAAACAATCTATTCACTTCTTGTTTGCACCAAGTTAGCTAGGTTGATGTAGTGTAACCATTGTTTCACTATTTGTAGGGGTGCAAATGGATCGGATCATGATCTGATCCGATCCTATTTGGTCAAATTCGGATCACCCCTAGTAAGATCTTCGAGTCAGATTGGATTTGGATCACCCCCATCCAATTTGATGTGTTATATATTTATAAATATAAATATAAATATATAATACATATATGTTATTTATTTATTTATAAATATATTATTTATATTATATTTTTATAATATTTTTATATTATTTATTTTTTACAAAAAACATGTATATATATGATGAAAATAATTAAAAATACTTGTAGTTTTTTTTGTTTTTTCTTTATTTAAATTGGTATATTTATATTTTCTTTTAATAATTTATTAATTTTTAAAGAAAACAAGTCGGATCAAATCAGATACAAAGATCCGATAGGATTTGAATTCAGATAGAGTCCTATCAGATCCGACATGAACAATATCAGATTTGATTTGAATATGCAAGGGATTTGGTTGGAGCTAGTCTAGATTAATCCCACCTTGAGTTTCACACCAAATTGCTCTAGAAAAAGGGCATTTGAAAAAAAAGGGGGAATATAGTTTCTAACTAATGTTTACATAGACAACAATATTGTTCTTGTGGGGACAGCCATTTGATGCATTTATCTCTTGTTACAATACTTTCTAGGTAAATATTTGAAAATGATATAGAATCTTGAGATTCTAAAGTTGATTCCATTTAAAATGTGGTTGTGAAGTGGATGGTAATATGTTAAGAAAGGGCCTATAAGCTGATTTCATTGTATAAACCCCCAAATTATTGTGTTTCACAATAATTTATTTGAGTGCAACTCCATGTGAGATCTAATAGCCCTGATATGAGCTATTGACTAGACTTGAAAAAAGTGACTTAAATTGGCTAGATTCCATGTGCCATCTGGATTAAGTAATTCTATAACTCTGAGTTGTTGAGCATGGTTAGTCAAGGGATGATCAGAAAATTTGATTTCAGATTCTTGAATAACTTATGAACTTGTTTCCACCATAATAAACTTCTATGGGTTACTGCAGCCATGCAACCAAGAATGAGCTTTTATTTGAAAAATATTTTTGCTTCACAACCCAACTCCATAAGTAATTAGGATTAGTAATTAACCTCCATAGTTGCTTACCTAACACCACAGACAAGTTCTTTCTAAGTCCCAATCAATCGATAGTAGGGGTGATCATTTCAGCCCGGCTTGGCCCAGAAAATCCAGGCTTGGGCCTAGGTTTTTTGTTAAGGCCTAATTCGGGCCCAGGCTTGCATTAGGCCCGCAAAATTTAGGGCTAGGTTTGGGCCTAATTTTTTAGGCCCGGCCCGAATATTTATAAATAATATATATCTTTATGTATATATGCTATTTAAAAATATTTGATAATTGATATTTTTATATATTAAATAGAGATTAATAGAGATTTATAGGAGAATAAAGATTTTAATCTTACGGTCTTAGATCTTACCAAATTCTAATCTAGTATTTAATGAAATATAGAAATTACTAAACCCTAACATTTTCGGTTCTCTCTCTCTCTCACCAATTTCACAAAACCACCACCGCACCCAATCTCTCTCTCTCACCAAAAGACGAATATTCTAATGACGAAGACTCCATTGATGAAGATAAATCTGAAGTTTAGAGTGGTTGCAAGTTTTGGGTAAAATTGAAACTATTTTCAATATTTTATTACTTATTTATTTACATTAATTTGAACTATTTTTTCTTAGTTTTCTAATATCTTTTTTATTTCACATTTTATTTGTAAGGGTTGAATGGAAGATGAAGCCCCTTATAGAGATGTTTAATGTTGTTTTGTGGATATTACATGACAATAGATGGTTATTTTTTGATAGATATTAAAGGTTCTAGATTGATTTTTTGTTGATAGAAGAATTGGTTTGTTAAAATTATCATTTTTAGCATATGAATGACCAATTGAAACTTATAAATTAGAAGGTATAATTATTTAATTTCTTTTATATTATAAGCTTTTATCTTGGTATTAAGTTTAAAGTTTCTTACAGGTTACTATAGTCTCCACGACAATAAATGAACAAAAGTACAATTATTTAATTTTGGAATTAAAATACAATAATTAAGCCTAGAATCTCGGGCTTATATTTTTAGGCCCATAATGCAGGCCAGGCCGGGCTCGAGTCTAGCCTAAGCCCGTTGTTATGAAGGCAAAGCCTGACCTGGCCCATGATCACCCCTAACTGATAGCCCTTGGCAAGCAAATTTTATTCCATGAAAATTTTGTTCTTGGAGTTTTATCTTTCCAATTGCCACAAAAAATTCCTTGATGCTTATTCTATTTGTCAATAAACCTTATTTAGCAAGATTGCAGTAGACATTGAATATAGAGACCAAATCAGCCCCCCACAAAATTGCCCCCCACAACGTCCCACAACACATCCCCGCCGTGTATTGGGAACATCTCCCGATGATAATCCCAGAAATGATGATGTCATCATCGGGAGATATTCCCAATACACGGTGAAGATGTATTGTGAGATGTTTGTGGGGGCTGATTTGAACTCTTGAATAATATATAGGAATGGATTGGATGACTGACTTAACTAGTATTGTTCTACTTGCCTTGACAGCAGCTTAGAGCTCCAACCAAGCCCAAGCATGGCTAGGTTAGAGTTGTCATGTTGGGTTTGGGTTCAAAAGTTTTATTTTTTATTTTTTTAAAATTTCAGGTTGAGCCTTGGCTTCACCTTTAAGTAACCTAAACTCGGCCTAGCTTGGCACCCACCTCTAATCCCAGCCCATTCCTAATCCAAGTGCATCAAATTTTTATACGGGCTGAGCCAGATTGGATAGGCCGTCCGACTTAGGAATTAGGATTGGGCCTGCCCGACTTTAACTCTATCCCAACCGTAGTCATTTTGTCCGACCAAAAACTGGCCCTATGTTTCCTAATCGGAGATTACAAAAAGATAAAATTACATAAACAAAAACGTGAGCGGCAGGATTCGAACCTGCGCGGGCAGAGCCCACATGATTTCTAGTCATGCCCGATAACCACTCCGGCACGCCCACTTGAATGAAAGTTCTCTTCTGAATTCTAGAGGAAAATTGAACTCCAAAATCAAGTAAGCTGTAGAATCCACGGTCTCGCACTTTCGCAGTTTTTCACTGTCATCGACTCATTTCAGCAGATTATGTGGGACCAACCGTATAGTATGACGTGGTGTATTCTGATTGGCGTAGTTATGAGGTAACGGCATGCAAGATGCAACCTGTCGAACTTGAAGCATATCGTACCGAGTCTACTGACCCATCCGGAGTCGGCTCAGTGGCTGGTTCGGTTTTTAAAACATTGTTTGATTTGTGTCATTGTTTGGAGTTTAGACCAGACGCCGAAAGACTCGACGGCTCGGAACTGTGAGAAACGACTAACGAGGAGGAAGGACGGGGGAAAAATCCGAAAATGGGCTGGATCGGAGAGACCATTGACTCGATCAAATCTTTACAAATCAGGCATGTTCTCTCCCAGGCCGTCAGCCTTGGTTCGTAAAACCCTCCCTCTTCTCTTCATTAGCTGTTTTCCTTGTCATTCACGGATTGTATTTGGTCTGTTGAAATCGTTGCTTGGACATTCTGATTTGATTACTAATCTTTTCCTTTTCTTTTGATTTGAGAGAAAAAAGTCGATGAGTCGATGCTTTAATGCCTCTTACAACGTGAAAGAGTACATGAACATGGATATCACCTTAATTTTGGTCATTTTCTTGGGGATGGACTTAACCCTACTAGAATGTCAGTAATAAGATCCACTTGAATCACAAGTCTGCAACATATAGGTTTAGTTAGATACGACGTTGGTGTGCTGGAGTCGTCTCATGCTTACGCGTCAATTGCATTACGAAAGATTCTTTAGGATAGCTAACCAACGGACGAGAAATACTAAAAGTTATTCCTCATACAAGTATGAACACTACTCTCTCGACCAAAGTCCTCGACAGAACATTGGCTCCATCAACCACTCTATGCTTATGCTTTTACATAGAGGCCATGAGTTGGAAGCTCTTAAATTACTTAGGGAGCAGCTGCGGTGGGGTGGCACCAACACCCTCAATGAGGTTACTGTAGCTGTTGCTCTCAAGGCTTGTCGTGGGGACCCAAAACCCGGGTGCCAAATTCATGGACTTGCAATTTCATCTGGGTTTGATTCGTTTGTCACAGTATCGAATTCTCTGATGAATGTGTACTGCAAATCTGGACAATTTGATCAAGCTTTTGAAATCTTCAAGAACTTAAGTAGCCCGGATATTGTTTCTTGGAACACAGTTCTTTCAGGTTTCCATGAAAGTCAGGATGCGCTAAGATTCACTCTTCAAATGCATCAAACTGGGGTCTCCTTTGATGCTGTGACTTATACTACTGTTCTTAACTTTTGCTCAGATATTCAGGACTGTCTTCTGGGTTTTCAGTTTCATTCCCTTGTAAATAAATCTGGGTTTGACTCTGAAACATTTGTTGGGAATGCACTTATAACAATGTACTCGAGGTGGGGCTATCTAGAAGAAGCTAAGAGATTGTTTGATGAAATGCCCCAAAGAGATTTGGTTTCTTGGAATGCTCTACTTTCAGGCTATGTCCAGGAAGGAAATTATGGGGTAGAAGCAGTTTATACATTTGTTGAATTGGTGAGGGAAGGTATGGAGCTTGATCATGTCTCTTTTTCTAGTGTGATTTCAGCTTGTGGCCATGAAAAAAGCTTGGAACTTGGGAGACAAATACATGGTCTAGTTTTGAGATCTGGGTATGGGACTCATGTTTCAGTTTGTAATGTTCTCATCTCAATGTATTCAAAGTGTGAGGTGGTTGAAGATGCTAATATGGTATTTGAGAGCATGACTGAACGCAATGTGATTTCATGGACGACCATGATTTCTATAAATGAAAAAGATGCTATTTCTCTCTTCATTGATATGAGAAAAGATGGAGTTTATCCAAATGAAGTAACATTTGTTGGATTAATCCATGCTATATCAGTTGAGAATTTGGTAAAAGAAGGGCATACAATTCATGGATTTTGTATAAAAACTGGTTTCTTGTCTGATTTGAATGTTTCCAACAGTTTCATTACCATGTATTCTAAATTTGAGTCCATGAAGGAGTCAAAGAAGATCTTTGATGAGATTAGCTACAAAGAGACCATATCATGGAATGCTTTAATTTCTGGGTACGCACAAAATGGGATGTCTCAAGAAGCTTTACAGACATTCTCCTTAGCAATACTAGAATCCTATCCAAATGAATTTTCTTTTGGCAGTGTTTTAAGTGCAATTGGATCTGCTGAATCTGTATCACTGAGGCAAGGGCAACGGTGCCATTCCTGCATAATCAAACTTGGGTTAAATACCAACCCAGTTGTATCTGGTGCGCTCCTGGACATGTATGCAAAGCGTGGGAGCATTGAAGAGTCACAGAAAATATTTAGTGAATCACCTCAAACAAGCCAAGTTGCTTGGACGGCAATTATCTCTGCCTATGCAAGGCATGGAGACTATGAATCAGTGATGGAACTGTTTGAGGAAATGCAAAGAAAAGCAGTCCCACCAGATTCAATTACCTTTCTATCTGTTCTAACTGCCTGTGGCCGACGTGGGATGGTAGATATGGGTTGTCGAGTATTTGATTCAATGGTCAAAGATCATCACATTGAACCATCCCCTGAACATTATTCATGTGTTGTGGATATGTTGGGCAGGGCAGGGCGGCTTGATGAGGCAGAGGAGTTTGTGCATCAGATGTTAACAAAGCCAGGGTTGTCTGCATTGCAAAGCTTACTTGGGGCTTGTAGGATTCATGGGAATGTCGAAATGGGTAAAAGGGCAGCTGAGGCTTTAATGCAGATGGAACCCATGGAATCTGGTTCTTATGTGCTGATATCTAACATATATGCTGAGAAGGGAGAGTGGGACAAGGTGGCAAAGGTAAGGAAAGGGATGAGAGAAAGGGGAGTAAAGAAGGAGATTGGTTTTAGTTGGGTGGATGTGGTTGGTGGTTCAATGTACATGCATGGGTTTTCCTCAGGTGACAGGTCTCATCCACAAGCTGAGGAGATATGTTGGATGGCAGAATTGTTATGGTCAGAAATGACATCTTTAGAGAGAAAAGAGAGAGGCCTTCTTCAATCTATAATATAGCCCAAAGAGCTGAGTCCCATGAAAGGGAGACACTTGTGGTTTAATTTTTCCCTTTGTCTCTTTCTGTTTTGTCCCCAGATTTTCTCTGTTGAAAGATGAGGAACCTAACTAAAATGGGCAATTTATGGTTTCTTTACTAAATACGCTTGTGTATGGCTTTTCATCCCTTTTGGCATGTAAGGAAACAGAAGTAATTTTCTTGTTCATGAAATGTGAATGCATGTCTGTTCTGGCATTTTTACTCTCACACACAATGTTCTTATTAGATGTTTCTGCCTTAGGCATGTGTTGTGAAATTCTAGTTTCAACTAGATATCGATTATGTGCTATTGTTAAAATCAATTTGAATGTTTGATGTATCTAGGATGTAAACTGTTTTGTGTAAACTCCTTATTCCTTAGCATGGTTTTGCTGACTCCTGAGTTGGCTCCAATCCTACATAGGGGAAGCTGAATCATTGTGCTGACTCCAAATGCACAGGACTCATTAGAGTCAAGTGATTGATTCCATGAAATAATTAAATAATGAAAATTTTGAGTATATAGTAATCATACCAACTTTAGCTTCAGCCATTAAGGAGCTCACAACCTCCTTAATTACTTAATCATCAAAAGACAAGGCAATAAGTCATTCAGTTTAATCACTTCAACTGTATCAAATGGTCCCTCAACTGTGAAACTATTTTATATTTCCTGTTTCTTGCTTTTGTGTTTGGTTGGCTAATTGTTGTGTATTTGTCTCCCATGTCTCATTTCCTGGACTCTGGGAGCTTTATCTTTAATCAAATTATAGATTAAATCCTTATTGATATGTTGTTAGTGATCAAAAGAGAAAACAATGCCAAGATTCGCACTAGTTTCGAATTAAAATGTTTCTTCATCAATTTTATTTTGTTTTATCTTTCCATTAGGGGGTCTTCTGTATCCACATTTAAAGTTTTTTTCCCTTAATCTGTTTCAGGCATGATTGTTACATCAGCATTAATAATATGGAAAGGATTGATGTGTATCACTGGTAGTGAATCGCCTGTTGTTGTTGTCCTTTCTGGGAGCATGGAACCTGGCTTCAAGAGGGTGAGTCCAATGCTAGTAGGGCTATCTTGAGAACTTAAGTCTAAAATCATTAGTCCTATTCATAGAAAAAACTGTATGTATTGATGAAAAAAAAACAAAAAAAAAAATTCTGTATGCTTTGAAGTTTCAATTAAGTCAGCATATTATTGTATTGTAATCATTATGATATGTGAAAATATAGTATGATATACAGTGAAACTAATCTTCTTTAATGCTAAGCATATGGTCTTTAAAGCAGTATTATTTGACCCTCAAAGGCCATTACCTGATATTGTCCCATCTATCTGGGGTCTTGGGAGGGGTGGACTAGATAAGGACCTAACCTTTGGCATTTCTTTCTGCACATGGTAGTTTCTCTCAGACTTGAACCTCCAGTGTCATGCTTGTCAACCTGAGATTTTACCATAAGTGTTGTGAGACCATATCAGACAAAATTGGAAACATCACTGGTCATGGGCTTACCACATTAACTGACAATTTAGTTGTTCAGCCAGTAAAAATCGTCAAAAGAAGGGGAGTTTTGAAATGGCATCACCAGTTTGAAGATTCAATATCTTATCCAATCTGGGTTTGACAACACTGTTTTAAATAATAACTAGGCAACTAACCTGTTATTTTGTTTGGGATCCACTACTTGTGTTAAATTTTGGTTGGTTTTCTTATTTAATTTAGGAAATTAAATCAGGTTTAATTTGTAATTAAGGACCTATTTTGTCTAAAAAGGGGGACCCACATTAATTAACATGTCAAAATCTTTATGGTGAGTCTTTTATTTGAGTTATAAAAAGTTAGAAAGGTTGGTTCTTATTAATATGGGATCCACTCATCCACATCTTTTGAAGTGAGCACTTTTTTTGAGAGTGGAGATAACTACCTTACCTTTTCTGAGAATGGAGGTAACCATGTGTTTGAGAGTAGATACTTTTAAAGGAGAGGTTACCCATTTGTCTCATGAATAAGCCCTCTGGTCCAAGGTTTTGCTTATATATATATATATTATATTTCCATTATACTACCATTAGAGTTCTATTTGTACCTTTCTTAGATCTATTCTATTTTATCCTTTGTTTTCTATCCCTTTACAGAATGTTTCAGTCAAAGATATCCACATAATAATGGCTTTGGAGGGTGTTACGTCTCCTTAAATTTGTCAGGAAATAGTATTTTTTTATTGAACAAGTCTTCTTCCCATCATCATCATCATCCACGTCTTATCCCAACTATGTGGGGTTGGCTACATTAATCCTGTTTCACCAATCTGTTCTATTTAAAATCATATCCACTGTTATTCATGAGGGTTTGGCAAAAGTTTTAGTAGTAATTCAGAAGGGCAAGCATTTCAGATCATGAAGAAAGGTTGAGGTGTCCTTTGAATCTTCATTTAACTATACTGTTCTCATGGGTGCCATGATGGGCTAATTACATATTGGACATTCTTGTGAAGGATACATATATATTTGAGTCCATTGGCTGTTTTTTGTTTGCCACTTCTCTGTTCTGCTATGGCTTGATGGTCTGTCTGTCTCTCATTTCATGTATTTGTTACTAAAATTCTTGGTAATTATAAAAAGAGTTTCAAATAAACATTGTTGAAAACAAAAGACCCCAATGGCAAATTACAAACATAAAAAATTTTCAGTTCTAACTTCTAAGCCTTCACATATCTAGTGGAAAATGTGGAAAGTGATGTTGGTCAGCCATTCCAATAGCAGTGTTGTGGGCTTTTGGTATGAAAGGAACAGTAGAATATTTGAGCGGAAATCATCATCCAAAGAAATGGTGATTAATGTAGTGGTTGAAGAACTTAGGAACTGGTTGTCTAATACACAATGTATTTAAAGATAATACTTTTTCTGCTTCTTTTTTGAAAGTGGATTTTTTTTGAAAGGCCCTAAATGGATATACATGTACATTACCTCATTGTAGGGGCCATTACTTGGTGTAATGGTAAAATCTCGGGCTGGCAAGTGTGAGAACATGGGTTTGAGTCTGAGGAGCTATCACTTTATGCCAAAAGAAAATGTTGAAGGTTAGGACCATATCCAGTCTACCCCTTCCAAGACACCAGATTGCTGGGACCAACATTGGGTTATGGCCTTTATGTGCAGCACCTCATTGTACTGAGGTCCATACCTCTTTCTTGCTATTAATGAAACTTACCTTACTATTTCTCAAAAAAAAAAGTTAAGAATCAAAATGCTCAATAAGAAAGCTATTGCCTCTATAATTCTCATATTGAAACATTATCTCAGTTTTTGTACTTCATATGGTTAAGAACTTGGCTAATGGTATAATTTACCTTGATATTGTGCTTCATTCATAGATTGCCACCATTTATTTAGAACTTACCCCATGTGGTTAAGAATTTAACTTGCCTACTGTTAAACATGCCCAATCTGGTATAGTTTACTCATGTGGTGCATAGATTGTCACCATCTTATATATAACTTAGCTGCACAATAATTTCTGTTCTTTTTTTTTTTAATTCCGCTGCAACTATACTCATTTCTGTTCTTGCAGGGTGACATTTTGTTTTTGCACATGAGTAAGGATCCTATTCGTGCAGGGGAAATTGTCGTGTTTAATGTTGATGTATGTGCCTTTTCATTTTGTTAATTGTTTCTTTTTTTGGATTTGTGTGTTCTTCTCTTGCTTGACATTATCATTGTTTGATTTCCCATGGCCAAACAAGCTATCTTATGATTAGGTTTTTTGTTACGGTAGCATGGCCCATATTCTGAACATTGTAGAAAAGGTTTAATTGATTCTAATTGTGAATCATATCATAAATCATATGATTTTTTTTAATGTTTCTTAGAAGTGCGCCAAAAAATTAAAACATAACTGCCAAAAACTCTTATATAAGAAAGTAAATTTACCCCATTTTATCTGTATCTACCATAATGTACATAATAAACAGGGTTTATTGCTTGTACACTACAGTCAAAGATTATATGATTAAGTTTGACTTAAAAATCAATTAAGGCACATATAGTGGCTCTTTAACCTACAATATGATAGAAAATAAATTCAATAAGGTTTCTAAATAGGTCTTAAATAGCCTAAATAAATCTTATTCTAGTAAAGATTTTAACCAGTGCCCTTTGAACAATATTAAAAAAACAAAAGATTTTTTTGATAGATGAGTGGTATTTTATTTTATTTTGATGAGTAATAGTAAAATTTTATCAATTTAGAACCTAATTTAGAATTGTAATTTCGTACAACACCCCATGTAGGGATGGCAACTTTCGCGTAAAACTGGGGCCCTGCCCCGCCCCGCCCCGAATTGGGCGGGTTTTCCCCGATCTTAAACAGGGACGGGGCAGGGATGGGTTTTGCCGTTTTGCTTTTGCATATAATTCCCCGAACCCGCCCCGGACTTGGTGGTAAATTATTAAAATATGCCTAGGTTTAACATAAATTTCTAAAACATCTTTAAATGTTCCCCAAATTCCTAAAACCTTTAGGGTCCAATAATTTAATGTTTAAAATGCCCCTAAATTCCCATAATATAATTTCCAAAATGCCCCAAATATGATGTATTTTTAGGTGTTGACTCGGGGAGGGAAAATTTGAGGATTCCTTGTCCCTGATAAGGAGGAGGTGCCCCACCTCAAACCCGCCCCACCACTGGGGACGGGGTAAGGGATTTTGGCTACGGGGCGGGGATGGGAAGGGGGTGCCCCACCCCAAACCTGCCCCATTGCCATTCCTAATCCCATGGAGAGGTGCGAGCTGCAGTCCCTCCTAGAAGCTTACAAGTGTACAATCAGCCTAATAGGAAGCACAAGATGTTACCTCCCCTTGGAACTGTGCATTGAGCAAATAAGCACAATCTAGCCTGAATTACAATTATAATGTAGCCCAAAACAGATCACCCCTTGATACCCCTTGTTTAACCAAAGAATCAGCCATGGCATTTTCCGATCTGCTGACCCACTGAAAACTAACTGCCATATTCCTTGGCAGCCAATTAACTTTCCTTAAAAGGTCCTTGTAACACCAAAAGACTATTTTCTGAATTTGACAGCCAGCCCACTACCACCTTGGAGTACCCCTCAACTATCAAGTTCTCCACTCCAAGTTGATTAGCAACCTGTATACCTTGAAATGTTGCTAGTATCTCAGCTCTTATAGAGTCACCAACTCCCACTGGTCCTGAGAATAAAGATAGGATGTTGCTATCCTTATCTCTCAGAATTCCTCCTATACCTTTTGGCCCTGGATTACCTTGATTGCTTACGTCAAAATTCAGTTTAACCACTCCTTCCGGAGGGGGTTTCCATTCTCCTTGTAGAAGAGTTTTTTGAATTGCACGAATCACATAGATTGTAAGATTCATGAATTAGTGTAAGATTTTTTAAGAAAAAGATTCAGACAATAATTGAATTGAAAACCTTGGAATTCATAATTTGAGTTGTGAATCACGTTGTAAATTGTAAGATTTTAACAATAATACGTGTGCCTCCATCAAGTACAGCATTCTATTTTATGATACCCAGATACCTGTACAAGGGTGCCATATTGTGTAGGATACTCCAATTTTTTATGAAAGTTTCCTTTTCTTCTAATAATTTTTCTTTTTTATTTGTTACCCTAAAAATACTCCAATTTTTTGTGAAAATTTCATATCCAACATTGTGTCTAGCAATGTCCTTGCTGCATTTGGGTAACACAGTTTATGTTTGGAAAGAAATCTCTCTATTAGCAGTCAAATGATTTCCATTATGGAGGACCTACCCTATGTTGACTTGTTATGTAAGTTGTAGTGTGAATGCCACTTGAAGGTATGTGCTTTGGAGTCAAACCTGTTTGATCCCAAATTCCTGAGATAGGGGGTTTCCAGTAAGATGGATCTGTCAACTGTACAGGTCATTATTACCATTCTATACGTCCAGGATTTTTCAGCAACACAGAGAATCTCAAATTCATTAATAATTAAAAAACAGGTTACAACAAGAAGTTGTGAGAAACTAGCAAACCCATTACAGGACTAGCCACCCAACACTATATTACGATTGTGCTCAGTACATATGTTGTCTTTGAACCCCTTGCTTAACTAAACTATCTGCTAAGCTGTTAGCAGATCTTCTAACCCATCTTATTTGAACATTCGTGCCTTTTGACAGCCATTTGAAGCTGTCAAATCACCTCACATTTTTTTTCAATTATCCCACTACTATCTTTGAATCACCTTTAATGATCAAACTAGCAATTTCCAATTCTTTGGCTTTCTCAACCCAAAAACTGCTGCTAAAAACTTTGCTTTTATCGAACCACCTTGCTCAATTGGGCCTGAAAACAAGGCACATATAACACCACCCTCATCTCTAATCACCTCTCCAATTCTTGAGGGACCCGGATTGCTGACACTACTACCATTAAAATTCAGTTTCATCCAACCACTCACTGGAGGTGACAAACCTCTAGAATTTTTTGTTTCCTAGAGGAAGAGTCAGCTATGCCCCCTGCACTCCTAAACTCCTGAAGAAATGCACTTTGAAGTCTGTAAAGAGTTTCAAGGTCTTTACCCAATGTGCAACTCTTAGAGTTATGAGCTTTATCGCTGTCTCTTTGCTCCTCTCATTCACCCCCAAAATGTCTTGTGTTTCTTTCTTTCCACACTGTCTAAATCACTGCTGCCCTTGTACACTTCCCACACTGAGCAATAGCTTGAAATATCTTTTTGGTTTATAAAATAACCAGTTCAGTTTGCATCACTGTATGAGGACGTATCTATAGACCTACTAATAATTAACCAGATATCAACATAGTGACGAATCTAGAAAGTAGAAACTGTCATCTAATGATGATCATCCAAACCTGTAGTCTATAATAGACTTTTTGCATTGGCTAACAAAACATATGGGGTGGGCAAAAATAGTTTTTTGATGTAAGAAATTGTCAAAAAACCTTTGATTTACCTGAGGATTTGATATATGATGCTTAGTATTTTGTTCTGACCTTCTGTTGCAAATATTGCCCTCAGCTAGAGATATAGATGCATTATGTTTGGTGTACTTTTGGCTAATCGGTTATTACTTATTGCTAATATCATTAATTCTACACTTTTTTTTTTCTTTTCATTAGGGACGTGAAATTCCAATTGTCCATCGGGTAATTAAGGTAACTTCTATGTGGAAAACTTGTGTTTTGTTCAATTATTTCCTTTCAATATTACACTACATGAAATAGGAATAATTATCAAAAAATATATGAAATAGGAATATCTGAATTTGCCTTGTATTAATTTTGTGCATTTTGGATTATTTCTTTGGTAAGTGGATAAAGGATTTCATTATTGCAGGAGAGAGAGGTTCTCTCAACAAGTACAAGAATCTAAGGAAAATAAAATTAGAGGGAACCAAATAAATAAGCCTCATGCCTTCATCCCTTACAATACAATAGTAGATTCAAATATATGCTGTTTCCATCTACTTTCAAAAAGACTTTGGCTGATTCCTCTAAATTGCTTCAAGATCAGGGCCCATCGTATTAGGGTTCTCCCTATTTTGCCGATCATGGTCTCTAGAGAGAGACTCGGATTTTAAGATTCTCATATTTTACTCATGTCATATGGACCAACACAAAATAAATGATGGAGGATTCCATAGGATTGTCCCTCTAATACTAAAGCCTTCACCCCTTGAAGCCTGAACCAACTGGGCTAAGCTCCCTAGAGCCACCCACTGCCTATGGAATAATTTTGAAAAATGTCTAGGGCTAATGGTCTTTCTTTGTGTCTCTTGGCTTCCACAAAAGGTCCCTCATTAGTTTCTCTAGTTGATTGGCCATTTTGGTGGGGATCCTAAAGGTAGATAGGTAGTAGACTGTAGACTGGCAAATTAGTCAAGGTTGACTTTATTAGAGTTATTCTACCCCCTAAAGAAATATAACTTCTCTTCCACCTTGCAAGCCTCTTTGTAAACCTTTTCACTACTGGATACCAGGAGCTATTAGAATTTGGGTTCCCTCCCAAGGGTAGTCCCAAGTACTGTAATGGCCATTCTCCATTTTTCCTACCTCACAACCCAACATTCTAGCAAGGTTTTCTACCTCCCCTTTCTTTTTATTTAAGCCCGCTACACAACTCTTATTCCAGTTCACTTCGAGACCCTTTCGAAGTGTGTTACCATCCTTTGTAGATTAATCGTTTCCTCCCTTTCCCCTTCACAGAACATAACAATATCATCTATAAATTGTAAATGAGTAACCGCTACATTATTCCCCCCAACTCTCCAGCCTCTAATTAAATTATTAGCATCAGCCCTTGAAATTAAATCATTCCGCACATTTTCTATTGAAGTGAAAAGGAAGGGGGCGAGGGGATCTTCTTGTTGAAGGCCCCTTTTAGCTGGAAAGAAGTCCCTAGCTACTCCAGGAAGAAATACAACCCTTCATCCATTTACACCATCTCGCTCCAAAATCTCTCAATCTTAAAACTTCTAATAGAAAGTCCCAGTCCACCAAATTATAAGCTTTCTCCAAGTCCAATTTACAGACTAGGCCTTTTTCCTTTCTCCTTTTCTTGAAATCCACACATTCATTAGCAATGAGGATATGGTCAATTATTTGTCTTCAAACACAAAGGCCCCTTGATTTGGAGGGATCAAAGAGGGAAGGACTTTTTTAATCCTCTCAGCCAACACTTTAGAGATAATTTTATACGTGCTTCCCACTAGGCTTATGGGTCTAAAATCCTTTGGATGATCTGCATTTGCTTTCTTAGGGACCAAGGCAATAAAAGTTGCATTTGCCCCTGAGTTGAATTTACCCCTTTCAAAAGATTCATCGAACACTTCCACTAGATCAAGACAAAAATGCCTTCTTTGCTGCTTATGAATAAACAAATGAATAAATAGGACAGGAAAGCCTATGTCAAGCTGATCAACTGGTAGAATCTTCAACCTTGTTGACTCAATTGAATCTCTCCTTACAGATAGGATGATTGTATGAAATTGAAAAGATAGTCCATGCCATGGACAAAGGGTAGTAGCATGTAGTAACACAAGGAGCCCTTCTGGGTGTGTATCTGGGAAAAACATAAATGATGGTTCCTGAAACAACTTTCCTTAATGAATTCTCATTTGGGTTGATATTGAATAGTTATTTTTTTTTTAATCTGTATATGTGCATATATGTGTGAATTTTCATCTTTGGTTATTTTGTACTTAGTACTGATTTCTTTGGTAGGTTCATGAACGGCAAGATACAGGAGAAGTTGATATTCTCACCAAAGGTACCATATTCCTCAAAATCAAGACTTCTAACAAGAGAAATCATCTGTAAGCTAGTATTGGGTTATTCATAATTCAGTGAAGGCATCATGTCCAATTGATTTTTTAATGTCTCAACAAATATTGCTGGTTCTAATCTCATTCTTCCTAAATTGTTATATTCTACTAACACAAGAGACTACCACCCTGATGGTATGCTGATTTTCTCTTCTCTTCATTTTCTGGTCAGGTGATAACAATTTTGGGGACGATAGGCTTTTGTATGCTCAAGGTCAGCTCTGGCTTCAGCGGCACCATATCATGGGGAGAGCTGTTGGGTAAATATCTTGAGCATTTTATTTCTTTATCTGGTGCAAGGACATAGGCCACTTGCATTCAGAAGTGGCCATAATTTACATATCCTCATCTCCTAGGTAGTGTGGGTGTATTTGACCTTTGTCTTATATTGTATATAAACTTTACATGGATTCAATATTAGTGCAGTATTATAGTTTCTGCTCTGCATGATCTGCTATCATTTTGGAGCTCTGTGGCAAATCTTATCCAACAAAATGTTGTGTTTTTGACATTGTCATGTGTAATTTATTGTCAGTGGTGCAATAGGTCAATGGTTTCATGCATTTAAATTCCATCCATTATTTATGCCTTTTCACTTCATTTAACTCACTTTGCTACTCTGAAAGCAATTGCTCAGTTAATTCCAGGAGGTCAGACTTTGGTTGAGAAGTTGTCTTTATATTTTTGGTATGGTGGTACCATGAGACAACTTCTCTGTCCTGATGGGATTTCTTTGTTACATTTTGTGTTATTCTTTTATTGCATTTACCATGAAAGAATGAGACATATAAATCAAAATTGCAAAGAAGCAAGAGTTTGTATATACCATCTGCCAATTAAAGAAAAATGAGAAGGAAATATAGAAAATATGCTTTATTTATTTATTTATTTATTTGCACTTAGTGATCACCTTTTCTTCTTTGGCAGGTTCTTACCATATGTTGGATGGGTCACCATTATAATGACAGAAAAACCTATTATTAAGGTTTGTTTCTTCAGAATATCTTGTATTTTGTGATAGCTACCACTACGACTAGTAGCTGTTAAACAATTAATCAATAAGAGCTACTAAGTGTGCATCTGTTAATTATTGATAATTAACAATGTTTCCTAATAGAGAATCTGTACAAGGCAAGGATTTTCCTTATAAAGGTTGTTTCCACACACTGTTCTTTTTCTAGTCAGTGTGAACACAAGGAAGACCCTTTTCTTGGGTCTTGTCATAAATTTTCTTAGAAACTGTTCCTTGCTGGTAAGTAACATGTCCACTTAAGAAAAAAAAACAAAGAAAGAAAGAAAAGGTAACATGTCCACCAGAGGGAACTTGTTATACTTATTTATTAAACAAATATAAAAATGTCAAACCTGATATTAAATGTGCCTTTCTCATATCTACGATTAACAAGTTTCTCACTAGAAAAAGTGTGTTACTAGTAGTTAGAAAGCAGCAGATAATTTTGGAATGGTACTTTAAAAAGTTATTTTGGCTTATTCGATAGTACATGAAGTTCACCATGGAGCCATTTATATATTCTAGATTCTGAGTTTTGATATCGTTTCTTGCAGTACATACTCATTGGTGCCCTGGGGTTGATGGTCATAACTTCGAAGGACTGAGGAATGAATTTGAATTGCAAGGCTTTGGTCAACTTCACAGAAGTCATTTCATTTTGATCAGATGCCATCTTTCTTTTCTGTGTACATTGAATAGAAGTCATGATATTTTTGAAAGAATAGATCAATTACTCAAATTGGATGGAAAAGTTGATTATATCACTAGCATTAAAGAGATCAGTTCAATGTTTTTGGTCATTAACTCCGTATAACACAGTTTTCTTTGTTAATCTTTGCTTTCTTCTCACGCTTTGCACCTGTTTTCTGCCCTGACTAGTTACACTTGAAAAAGTTAAAAGCATGTTTGGATGTAACAATAGGGGAGATTACCTTCCAAACTTGCTTAATGTAAACTTTGGAGGCTGATAAAAAACTGTAAAATTTGCGAAAATAGTTTCATAGGGATGCACTTAACAACAAATAGTTCAAATAGGTAATAGTGGCGCATACAGAATACTGGAATGTTCAAAATAGGAGTGACCATATACATACAGATGACTTCCTACATCCTAGGAATCTTGAACGAGTAAAGTGACTGAAATCATAAGTACAGTAGTGTGATCGTGGGCAGGTCTCTGGCAATTGAAAAATCCAATAATCCAATAAAATGAGTGGGTATTCAGGATAAGCAGCACTGTGAGCATGCTTTAGCGGCTTACTGAGGTATGTCTAAAAGCGATAGTATTAGGCACTGGCTTCGCATTTATTCTCCCATCCCCATTCCAAGCAACCAAAACAAAACTTCAAATTTTGTCCTCCGTCGGAGGAAGAGGTCACGACCATGATAAATACACATGGGGCTCAATAGTATTTGGCATTGGGATAAATTGGGTAGCTACTGGTACCAGGTAACTTCATATAATGTCTTTGCCCACATCAATTCTCTACTTGTGCTTCTTCTCTGTGTTGCCCCTTAATTTCTTATAGTACTTGATTCTTTTAACATATAATCCCGAAAAAAAGAAATGAATTTCTTTTCTTATATGGCAAGGTGGCTGCTGAACTTGCACTTATATACAGTTAGTTACAGGCCATCCAATAGCATATACATGTGTTAGAATTAGAAAAGAAGAGAAAATAGTAAGACAGAAAAAGGTGGAATGCAAGCAACAATAAAAGCCTAGGTGAAGGGTGACTGTTGTTATCAGGACATTCACTCAAGTCACTCGGGAAATTAGCAGCTGCTGTTTGTGGAATGTGGATCATTGATCCTGCACAGACAGCACGCTTGTGCTGCTTGCATTCCCTTTTGTTAAAAAATCCTTACTCTGGGTTTATCTCAATTCCACCTTCTACTCGGCCCAAAACGTCTTATGGAGGGCACGTGTGCTATCTTGTACCAATCTTCTCCCACGGTTTCCTGAACCCTGGCATTGAATTCATCCGACATCCAATCCATATACAGTTCCCGTAGTGTGTCCACATTCTGCAATCCATCTGGAAGCATTTTCATGTTTCTACAAGATAAGAGCTCCAACTTTCTAAGACTGGAGAAAGCTCCTTTCCCCACCTCACTCCATTCCTCCAAGTGATCTGCATTTGAAATTATCAAGTGATCAAGCATAGGAAATCCTCCTCCAGGACAAACCATCTGCTTTGTTCTCCATTGGGAGTATGCTATCTTGAGGTACTTGAGTCTTAGCAGCTGACTTAGGGTTGGGAACGGGTCCTCCTCTCCTAGCATGCAGTCTCCAAAGGTAAGGTGAGATAGGTTTGGTGGGAATTCAGAAAGGCTTGGTAGCTTATCTATCCTTACACCGTTTAGACTCAGCCTGTAGAGATTGGGGTGATTGTTCATCACTGATAAGGGAAACACCATTGGATCCCTAAGATATCGATAGACCCCGTGGAACAAAGCTAAGGATTCAAGGCGGTTCAGTTTTGCAATCCAAAAACTTAATGCCTTTGCTTGTGATTGTAAGTCCCCCACCAGACGCAGCTTTCTTACATTGATAAAGCTGTCCCATCCATCCTTCACACGGCTGTTCCTGTCTATGCCCAAGCTCCAAAGCGTCTGAAGCTGGTGGTGGTGGTGGTGGCGGTGATTCTTTGAAGGGTGGTAATAGCCATCAGAGACATAGTCTAGTCTTGGTGGATCCAACACTTGTATCCCATCAAATTCATTAGTCAAGTAGAGGTGCCTCAGTTGTTGCATCATTGAAATTACATTACGCCCCAAGACAATGGAAGTATCCTTTACATCTAGTGTTTGTAGGTTCCAAAGATTGCACAAGGAGGGGGAGAAGGATCCACTCCCTCTTGTCTTTCTCAAGCCTAGGTACCTCAGGTGAATCAATTTACCCACTTCATTGGGTAACTTTGGTAGCCTCACGTACCCCAGATCAAGCACTCTAAGCATTCCAAAGATGAAAGCGACCCTGGTTGTGCTTACAAAGAGTCCATTAATGCTTGAATCAGGAAGCTCACCATTAAGGGACAGAAGAACTGAACGGAGTCGCGGTTGACAGGAGTGGTAATGGTACCACAGCGGTATGTTTTCCTCTGTGTCATTCTTAGAATTCAGAACAAGTCGCCGTGCCCTGGTAGTTAAGGCTGGCTCAGGGGAGGTGCAACCCTGAAACTGAAAAAACTCAACTTCCTTAGCTTTGGATATGGAGAGGTCCCTCAGGAGGTCATGAACACGACACTTCTTCACTGTCCTATCCATCCTTCTTGCCACTACTTGAACCATACTTCTATCACTTAATTCTTCCAAGTAGTCCCCAGCAACATCCTCCACTGCTCTGCCACCTCGTTTCTGAACCAAACCCTCTGCAATCCACAAATGAATTAATCTGCGTGCAGAGATTTCAGAGTCTTCAGGGAAGGATCCAAGGTACAGGAAGCATGGCTTCAAGTACAAGGGCAAATCGTCATAGCTCAGAGCCAAGATTTGAGAACATTGAGTTCTGTCTTGATCCAGTTGCCAATTAATGCGCTCAAGCACTTTTGTCCACTCACTCAAGCTCCTTTCTTTTCTTGACAATATACCTCCTAACACTACAATTGCAAGAGGCAGACCTCCACACTTGTCCACAATCTTCTTCCCAACATTTTCCAGCTGCTCCTGACTCGTCCCCTCGCTAAAACTATTTCCAACCAAGAATGACTTCTTTGAAAACAAGGCCCAACTATTCTCATCGCTCAGAAGTTGCAGTTCATGAACTGGGCTAGCCGGATCAGCATGTAAAGCAACATCTTTACTCCTAGTAGTTAACACTATTCTACTTCCATTACCCATATCAGGAAAGGCTCCTTTGATTTCATCCCAAACATCTGTTACCCAAACATCATCCATGATCACCAAATATCTTCTCTCCTGCAAGAATCTATGGAGCTTCTCCTCCAACTCTTCTACACTCATCTCTTTGGACTCCTTTCTGGGGAGACCCATCACTTTCTTTGCTAAATCCTGTAAAATCTCCTTGGTATTGTAGACCTGAGACACATAAACCCAAGCCCGACACTCCCTGAATTGGCTTCTGACATCTACACTGTTATAAACTTGTTTAGCAAGCGTCGTCTTACCCAGCCCTCCCATGCCCACGATGGAGATCACACTTCGTCGCAGGTTCCATTTATTGATTAGTTGCCCTTTCAATGAATTTATGTCCTCTTCCAGACCAAAGATATCGGGTTCATCAGAGTGAGGGGATATTCGTCTCCGCTCTCGCAATCTTCTGCGAGCAGAGCTGGACCCTTCTCCCACCCTCTCTCCCCCAATCATCTCTTCTTGAATTCCGTAAGTTACTTGTCTTTTGGAGATATCTTCGATCCTGGCTTTGATCCGCTCAATCTCTTGGGAAACCCTGTGCCGATTCAACAAGTCACTGAGGAAGATGGAAGCGTACCTTGTTATGAATCCCCTCCTCCTCTGAACTGCTCTGCTGAGGATGAAATTCTCGATAACGTCCTCTGCATCATACGCAATGTCTCGGAAGTCTGCGACCCAGTTGGTGATTCTCGCATCGCCTTCTTGCTGCTTCTCATCTGCGTGCGTTAAGAAGCATTTCATTTGTCTGAGTTCTCCTTTCATCCATTCGAACTGGTCTCTCACCCCACGCAAGAAAACCGCTTCCTGAATAATGAGTTCAGCAATTTTCTCCACGACGACAGCAACGATAGCCTCGGTTGCCATGGATTCTCTCTTTCCTCCTCCCCCTTCCACCACTAGTCGGTGTTGAGCAGATCAGTGTTCACTGAGGACCCACCCCATGAAGACAAGTCAATCAATGGAAAAAGGCAAAATGCTGATGCTAATATACTGCTATTGCACCTTTAAAGAAGACAGAGACTAAATCATGATCACAGGGATAAAATAGACATGATCAACTTGATTTTGCAGTCCCCAAGATGGGGTCAATCCATGATCCGATGAGCATGGATTGAGCTTCACAGGATTCAGAATTGTGGCGTCTTCCTGGTTCCCCACTAGAGGCTAGATTCAATTATTTATCCGAAGTCTACCAGAATTCATAAAAAAAGTTAGTGTTACAGCTGTGATAATGCTAAAAGCTTATTCTCATTGGATTAAAACAGCAGGCTTGACCTCAGATTTGAAGAGTCAGCAAGAGTGCAGCGTTTGACCAACGATGGCTGCTATGGTGGTGGTCGTATGAGCTCATTTTAACCACCGAGCCATGCTTGGAATCTGCTACAAACAAACAAGATACGTGCACAACGGACTATACTGTTGGTGTGTGGACACAGACTCCGGCTCTTCCCATGTAATACGTTACAAGTGAATCAGGGGTGGGGCCAAAGCTAGAAACCCATCGGATACGGCTGTCTAACAGTATTAGCGGATCCGTGCGACAGGATTTATTGAGAGAAAGGTAAATAATAGAAATGATCATATAGTAAAATACCCCTTAGAGTTTCATGGATTTACTAAAATCTACTTTATAGTTAGCATTTTACTAAAACACCAATTTATAATTTGCAATGGATTTAATCAATCTTTTATTAAATTATAATGAAAAATGACAATGTTGACCCTAATGTTCATTTTAATAAAAATAAAAATACCATTTTCCCTTAATAAGACACATGCAACCACTCTATTGACTATATTTGGTCAATTTTGTTTTTTATACAAAAAAAAGTGTTAGAAGTATTTTTGGAATAAAAAATCATGGTTCTAATGGCAAAACAAATACTCCTTAATGAAATGTTGATTAAGTAAATAAGTTGTAAAACATATGGGATGTTTTAGTAAAATGAAAACTATAAGGTAGCTTTAAGTAAATATGTAAAACTATAAGGTGTATAGGAATGTCAACATGGTGGGGATCATATTCTTTGTCCCTGACCCCGATTATGAAATAACCCCCATCCCTAATCCCCGATGGGGATGGGTTCCTCGTAGGGACCTGAAACCTCAAAATGTTTTTACATAATAGTATTTTTTTAAAATAAATTTATTTGAAAGAAATAAAAACTTTTATATATATATATCAAAACATATTTAAAACATTATTTATAATTTAAAATTTTTATTTCTTTTAAATAAATAATATAGTAGTTTATTTATTTATTTAAAAGAAATAAAAATAATGTTTTAAATTTGTTTTGATATATATATATATATATATATATAATCGGGGTCAAGGTCGAGGTGGGGTGGGGACCTCAATCCCCATCCCTGACCCTAACCCCGACCTCAACATGGGGATTCCTATTAATCTCCATCCCTGCCTCTGCCCTACCAAAACAATCCCCATCCTGAGCCCCATTAGGTCGGGGAAGTCGAGTCTCCGTCAGGGATGGGGAAAATTGCTATCCCTAAAAGTGTGTTCTAATAAATGACCCTAATAGAAACACATAAGAGTACACAATTATTTTATATTTTCAAAATTTTTAAGCAATTAATAATTATTCATATTTTATATACTACTTTTAATAAAATTTTTATAACACAAAAATAAAAATAATTAATTCCAATTAGGTTTATTAATCAAACTGTTGAAACCGACCAACCCGATTAACTCGACTTGAGTTGGTCGGTTTTCTAGTATTTTAGGTTGGTTTTGTTTCAAAAATTTCCCAATTCGACGAATTGGATTAGTTTCACTTTGGCCATTTGTAAACCGACCAAAATCGAACGACCTAACCATGGATATATATTAATATTTTATATTTTAAATATAATTTTTAATATGGAAAAGTGGGAATTTTCCCATATTTTTTAGTCTAAAATGTTTCATATCATAAATCTAATTTTTAAATTTATTATTTAATAATTGCACTAAAATTTTTAAAAGTAAATTAAATTTTTAAGTTTAAATCTTTTGAACAGACTAACCAAACCAAAAAATTGACCCAACCTGACCAAGTCAATTTGGTTGGCTAAATAGCCTACGACCAAACTGAACCAACTCATGAACACTCATAATTTCAGCTAAATTAATAGTCTTATCTCTAGTAAATAACAATAGTTTAATCTCCAATAATTATTGAAAATTTATAGAAAAATACATAATTATTGAAAATATATTGATAATGAAATTTACAATAATTATACAAATTACAAAAATACAATAAGTACTAAAAATATATTAACTTAGTCAATAAATAGTATAATATCAAATAAGAGTTTAATCTCTATTTAATATTAATCAATAACTTATAACAATAATAGTAATTTAATCTCCAATAATTATTGAAAGTTTTCTATAAAATAACAAAACAAAATAAATTTAAACATAATCATTGAAAATACATTTATCACAACAGACAATAAATATTAATTTTAGTATATATAATTATATAATAAATACAAATTAAGAGTTTAAAATTATTATTGATAAATATTATTTTTTGAAAGTTTTTTTCTCAAATTATTACTTGATATAAGTGAAGTTAATTACTTACAATATTATGTAAAAATAAAATATTATTAATTTCAATGTTATGTTAAATATTTTGTTATTTAAATACTTAAATAATATGTAAAATATTTAAATATTAATTATTTATTGAATTTAATTATCCATAAAGTCATAATTTATACTATTATTAATTTTATAATATATTAAATTATTAATTTAAATATTATTTTATAATTATTTTTCTACTTTGAAGAATTTTTTTAAATTTATTACATAATTTCGTTATTTTAACTATTTAAAATCTAGTTATGATAAATATTTAAATAATCTATAAAATATTTATATTTTTTGTTATTTGAATTTTATTTATTTAAAGCTATTACATATTATTAAATATTTAAAAAAATTAAATTGATAATATGGAAAATATATTTTAAATTGTTAGTACGTAATTTCGTGATTTATTTTGTAAAAATATAAAATTATTTTTTATATTTTTAATAAATATTTCAAAGCTATTTTATAATTTTTTAGAATATTTAAATAATTTTTAAATTTTTTTAATCCAAACTTTCTTTAGATAGATATAGATAAAAAGTAGGGGAGAGGATAAATAGGAATTAAAGATAATTTAGGAGAGAAAGTCTTTACTAAATTAGAGATAATTTTGGAGAAAGTGGGGGAGGTAGTTTAGGAGTAATTTTAGGAGAATAGATTATTTAGGTTATTGGGAAAGTGCATCTCATTAGTTGTTTAAAAAATGACATAGAATTAAAAAAGTAAAAAATTAAAGAAAAGAGAAAATTTATATATATATATATATATATTACATAATTTCATTATTAATTTTATATTTTCGTGATATATTTTGTAAAAATATTATTTTTTTATGTTTTTATCAAATATTTTTAAAGTTATTATATAATTTTGTTAGAATATTTAAATAATTCTTAATTTTTTAATCCAAACTTTCTTAGATAGATATAGATAAAAAGTAGGGGAGATGATAAATAGGAATTAGAGATAATTTAGGAGAGAAACTCCCTAGTAAATTAGAGATAATTTTGGAGATAAATAGGAATTAGAGATAATTTAGAAGAAATAGGAATTAGAGATAATTTTGGAGAAAGTGAGGGATAGTAAATGAGGTAGTTTAGGAGAACTTGTAGGAGAAGAGATTATTTAGGTTATTGGGAAAGTGAATGTCATTGGTTGTTTCAATAATGACATGGAATTAAAAATGAAAAATTCAAAAAAGGAGAAAATAGATAAATAGCTTCTCTCAAAGGAGAGCTATGCTACAGGACCAATTTTAATGTATATATATGGATTCGAAGATTTGACATAATAGAATTGAATTGGGATATGACTTGTTTTGATTCAATAAATATTTAAATTCCATCAATTATTTAATTCTTATATATATTTGTATATTTTATATTAATAAAATTTTATTTTATACACTTATTAATTGTCTAAAATAATAAATAGATTCAAATCGAATTTAACCCACTTACACAACTATCATTGGTCATTCCTCCTAATTGGAGGAGGTGTCAAGTGACCATCTGAACCACGTGGTCATTGGTCACACAATTAGGGGTCTAAATGGATTGAATTTGAACCGAATCAGCTAATATCCAAATTCAAATTTAATTAGAAAATCCAATGGATATTAAAAGTAATGTTCAAATTTGAATTCGATTATATATTTGAATGTTCAGTCTGATTTGAATTTGAATATATAAAGCATGGTTTTCAGAACCGGATCAGACTGGACCGGTTCTCAATTTTTCCCAAAACTGGATTTTTTTTTCCAAAAAACATTGAATTGGTTAGCAAACCGTTGACTTGGGTGGTCAAACTGTTCAACGGTTTTGATCACTTTTTATTTTTATTTTTTTAATTTTTTAAAACTTTTGTCAGAACGAACCAATCGACTGTTCGACCCGGGAACTGGACCCATGACCGGTTCATTGTTCGGGTCGATTTTAAAAACCTTGATGTAAAGTGTGTAAATATATAAATTATTTATATAATTTAAATATTAAATATCTAAATTATATATAATATATAAATATTTTATATATTATATATAAGAATTAAATAACGATCAGATTCAAATATTTGTCGAATCAAATAAGGTCATATCTGAATTCATTTCGATTATATCAAACCTCGAATTCAAAATAGGATTTTCGAATACAGTTGACACTCTTAATCAATGGGTTAAACACACAAACCATGAACCTAAAAATAAAGCATCAATGGCTGGTGCATGTCATAAATTCTATAGAAAAGTACGGACAGGCCCAATGCAGATTTCTGAATTTCAATGCAGACCTATAAACATTCAAAATGTTAAAAACCCCCATTCTATACACCAATACCCGCCTGTAACTTGGCTTCAATTCCAAGCTGACACCTACCCAACTATACTTTGGACTTACAAACTTTGACCCTTTGCTGAACCATTATTCTCCCTAAATTCTATGAACCATGAATGCGTTTAATGATGATTAGGTCATTATGGTCCTATCCCGTCCCCTATACCAAAGGCCTTGTTAGGGCTAGACGGTCATTGATCTAAACTTGGAGAATAGCTCTAATAGGTAAAATAAATAAATAAATCAATCAAAGAGAGAACGAGAGGAAATAGGTAGACTAAGGTGGTTTATTACGTCACAGAAGATCATATACAGCACAATCTACTGCAAGTTGTAAGGGTTGGAAGGATAGGGACAGAACAAAAAGGATATTGAAGTTGTAAGAAATGGTACTAAATAGAAAGGAATCTTCAAATGATGTGTTGACTAGTCACCTTCCAGGTTTATTATATAAAAATGTTAATCATAGTGACAAACAAGACAAATTAATAATAGTGCCAAGTTTAGCATAAAAAAAATATGATAAATCGCTAAAACCTCCATTGAAGTTTCTGGTCGTTGCTGAATCCTTTCCTGAACTTTGTTAATCGCAACCACCTCTCCTAAAACTTCTAGCACATTTGCAAGTAGATCTCCTTTATTAGAATCATTTAATAAGAGACATCAAAATGTCTAAAATACCTATGCAGTTACTTTTGACCAAAATATTTATTTTTCAATTTTTTTTCTTCATATCAGTCGCTACCCCAAACCCTTCCAATCTCTTTTTAGGAAGTTGATTTATATTTCAAAATTTGCCCTATCAATCACTTAAATACAAATCTGCAGATTAATTTGAACTCTCTTATTTGTTTTGTTATTCATAAAATTTGTATTGTTTTTTTTTATAAAACCAACAACAATAGTAACTGCATGAATATTTTTAGACATTTCCATGTCTCTTACTAAAGAATTCTAATAAAGAGTGTCTACTTAACTATGTTAAAAAGTTCAAAAGAAGTAGAGAAATGATTACAATTATCAAACTTAATTCACTGGAGATTTCAACAACAGTAAAAAACTTGAGGAGAGGTTTCAAACAATTTACCCTAAAAAATAATAACGCCAATTCTTGATTGGCTCATTGGCTGCCTATTTTCTTATCCATCTGAACCATTATTTATATATCGTAAATTCGCAATAAAAAAATAGACACATCGGTTGGTAGAATTGGGTCTTGCTTTGGACATGGTGGGCCATCAGCTTGGAAGAATCAGAATCAAATTCACAACTGATACATTGAATTGAAACAAAGGCCTGTCCTACGCTGGATCTGATTGGTTTTGTTTCTGGTCCGTTGGGTCTATATATCCGGCGGCTTATTGAAAATGCTCATTAGCAGGAAGGACTCTATGCAAGTATGGAATTCTTAGTTGCTTCGTTTGTTTGATGTATTGTTATTCCACAATATTTGTATTAGGTAAGAAAACATTTTAATCCAATTCAGAAATTAAGTCCAGATTTGATTAAGAATCAGTTGTTACAACAAACGCTACACCTGGCCAACTTACTAGTAGTAGGGGTGTTCATTATATGGTCTAGACCACAAGACCGCACCGAATCAAAACATAATTAGCAGTTTGGTCTGATTTAGCCTTAAAATGGTTTGGTTTGTTAAGCAAATTCCTCAAACCGTATTTTTTTTTGTTTGGTTTGATTTTTTAAATTTTAGAAATTAGACCAAACTGTAAACCGTATTAAACAAAATTATTAATATATTAATATAATACATATGTTTGAGAATGTATGTATGTTTTTATTCACCATTTCATGCATTATTGTCGTTTGTTTCAATTTTTAACTTGTAATTTGATGCCCAAGGAATTGCTTATGTTTGACAAAGTGTAAGTGTAATTTATATAATAGCAATAAGTGGTACTTTTTAACATTTCAATTTGATATTTGAATTATATTTGTTATTTATGTAGGTATGCTTGTTATTTGAGCTTTCTAATTGGGTTAAGCTCAATAGAATGGCCCAAACGGTATTAGAAATTGGACCAAACCGTATAATACAATTTGGTTTGATTTGATTTCTATACTATAATGGTTTGGTTTGGTCTAAAAATTTCTCAAAGTATAACTTAATGATTTGATTAAGCTTATCAAACCAGGCCAAACACCTTCTAGTTTACATGGGAATTATATGGTTAAACTTGTCAAATTGCAAATTATAGGGGTGTTTTAGTAAACGACCCTAGATTAAATAATAAAAATCTAAAAAAGGTACCTATATAAAAATACAAAAAGAAAAGAAGAAAAATTGGATGCCCCTAAAACCTCCCCTGAAGTTTGGTTATTGCAATTACCTCACTTTAACTTTTTGACACAGGTTCAATTAAACCCCCTCTGTTAGAATTTTCTAACAAGAGATATGAAAATGTCCAATATACCCATGCAATTACTATTGAGACTGGTTTCTATAGAAAAAATAATACAAACTTTATAAACAACAAGAAATGGATAATTTAAAGTTGTAACTTTCCCTTTGAACAATTGATATGAAGGGAAATTTGAAAAATAAATCAATTTCAGAAGAAAAATCGGAAGGATTTGGGCTAGTGATGCATAAGAAGAGAAAATTTGGAAAATAAATATTTTGGTCAAAAGTAAACGCATGGGTATTTTGGACATTTGTATGCCTCTTTTTAGAAGATTCTAAGATAAGGGATCTACTTGCAACTAATCAACTATGTTAGAAAATTCAACAGGTGATTGCAATTACTAAACTTCAAAGGAGCTTTTAGCAATGATTCAAGCAGCCAAATCATGACCAAATCAACATTTTTATTTTGTAAGCAAATGATTTGGAGGTAGGGACCTTGAAAGCTTGGTTGGCTGACAAATCAATGAGGATTTTTTTTTTTTCATTTTATCTTTTTTGGTAATAAGACAAATCAGTGAGTTCGACCAGCTGGTTTTGTGCATAAAAAAAAATTAACGGTTCCAAGGAAGGGAAATCATGTCATGGCCAACCCAAAAGTATCAAAGGCATCCGTTAAATGAAGGTCTTGATTGTTGTTTTACAAGATTGAAGAATCGATATTATTGGATGGTACCAAAAAATATGGTATAATTTGGCAAGTCTTTTCAGGAAGATTTTTCAACAGCCTACATGGTCTTTGGTGCATCTTTTCGCGTGGACTGTCGGTTTTTTAGAAGTTCGAAAACCTGTATTTTCATCTTTTTTTCATTTGGTTGGAAAAAGATCTAGCTCCGAAAAATGCAACATCGAAAGATGTGAAAAGCCCGTTTCAGGCTATTTTTGGAAAACTCCAAATGGAGCTTTTCGACTTATTTCGTCTTGTCTTTGTGCAGAAACACACACCTCCAACCAAATCGGTTGTGGGCTGTCAAGATCTTAATGTAAAAAACCATTATGTTTTTTGGCCGTTAGATCTTCTAAAAGATCTTTCAAAAAAGACTTGCCAAATGGTAATGAGTTTTTGGGGTATTGTCTTTAAAAAGTTTTAAATAGTTTGATAAGTATTCAAGTCTATCATGATCTACATAGCTGTTAAATGAAAGACTTTAGGCTCAGTTTGAAAAGAATACAAATATAAATATGTTCAATATAAATACATATAAAATAATACAAAATACAAAGTTTTGCACTCTACATATTTGCATTTATACTCCTTCCAAACAGGCCTTAGGTGCAAAAATGATAGGAAGCTTCATTTGAAGCTTCTATATTTTTGGCCATTTTGGACTTCCATGAACTTTTTAGGACATAATCTTTCTCACTTCCTATCTTTCATTGTCAAACAGAGGAAGGCCAAATTTTGGTCTTCCAATCTTTGAAAAGCTCGAAAGGTCACATGAAAAAACTTGCCAAACACCTATATATAGTTATCTATTTTTTTGGGTTTATATAGTTATCAATTTCATGAGTTGTAAGAAACTTCAAATCCAATTCCGGGAAATTACTTAAAATGAAAATCATGTTATTTGGCATTGAAAACTGAAGCAAAAAAGTTAAAACAATTTGTTGAAATTTTGGGTTATTTGCCTATTTGGCCATAAGGCTCAGTTTGGAAGGAATATAAATGCAAATAAATAGAGTGCAAAATCTCGTATTTTATATGTATTTGCACTGTACATATTATACTCCTTCCAAACTAAGCCTAATATTAGGTTTGTTTTGATAAAAAAATGCTAGAAAATAGAAAGTGGAGGTGAACTTCTTCTTAAGAACTTTATCTCCATCTCTATTTCCTGTATTTCCTCATATTTCTCATATTTTCTATCAAACAAAATACATCCAAATTTAATTAATTATTAGAGCTATTTAAAATTTTTTACTTGCATTAATACACGTCCAAATCATGGTAGGTACGGTGTCCTATCCAAACAACTAAAATTGCTTACAATAAATCATAAATTCTCTATCTACCTCTACAATTAATGTTCTTGAATTTCCAATGAAATATAACTGAAATTCCAGTTAATTTCGTTTTGTCCTATCCAAACGAAACACGTAAGATCAAAGACCATTACAAACCTTAATCACTACTCAATTAGTCTGCAGTTTAATTAAGAGGTGAAGGTGAAGCCGCTCACATCTTCTTCGTCCTCGCATTGTTTGATCAGTGATCACTCGTTCTCTCCACTTCCACGCTACGCGCAATTCAGTTTCAGGCCGACCCGCTGGCCTTTACCCCTTAGTTTAAAAGTTGGAGCTAGAATTCCTAATTGTCCGTACCTTTGCAGTTTAGTTCTCTCAGGGCTGCTTTCTACAACGAGAGGAGTTTGGTCAGTAAACTAAAAGCTGCTAGATTCTGGTGATGAAACCAAGTTGTTTTTTAACTTTTTATCCGTCTCTCTCTCTCTTCGTTTAATATTGTTCTTATGGTGTTGGATTTCCTTTGTAGGTGATTTGTTGCGTGTCAAGCTTGCTTGGTTTCGCTTCGTCTTCTTCTTCTTCTTCTTCTTCTTCTTCTTCTTCTTCATGATCATCTTCTTCTTGCTGTTGAAGTAGATCTAGAAAACCCAGATTTGTTAATCATCAGACGGTTTCATTCTAATACTACAGATCATGAATAGAGTTCTGAAAGTGTTCAGTTCTATGTTCTCGAAACTCAAACGATTGCTGCGGCGGAGTAATTCAAGGATAACCAATTGCTACGATTCACTGGAAGAGGTTAGACCCCATAATCATATACTTATTCTTAGATGTTTTACGTTGAACATACTATGTTTTTGTTTACTTGGGAGCTGAATTCTTGGGTATGCTAGCTACCACTGATCAGAGCCATCGTTACTTGGCCATTAAGCAAGCATATGATGACTATGCTACCAGAGATGCAGTGGTCTCTGGGAATTCTTCTTTGTCTGACTTTGCAATGGATGCTTGCTTGACATTTATGCCTCCAGTGGGTTCTCTCTGATCATTGAAATGCCGTTAAAGACTTTGTGGTCGCCATTGTTATTAGCTTCTGTCTAGTACTGATGGTGTTTAACAAAGATGGTTTCATCAATTTGCATCCCTTTAGGTCCCTGAGGTTCTTGAATTTCTTGGACTTGAGTCTAATCTCATTGTCGGCATCGATTTCACAAAGAGCAACGAATGGGAAGGTTTTGGCTTTGGCCTCATCTCTCTGTGCTTTTGAACTTGTTTTGAGCGGTGGGCAACATGTGCTAATTAAACGTTTCTTGATGAAAACCTGCAGGTGTAAATTCATTCAGCCAGAGAAGCCTGCATCATATTGGAATCACTCAAAATCCTTACCAACAAGCATTAACTATTATCGGAAGAACAATAACTCCATTCGACAAGGAGGTCTTGATCCCTTGCTTTGGATTTGGAGATGGTAGTTTCTTGACTAACTAGCTAGTTGATAAAATTTTGTTGGGTAACGTTATTTAGACATTAGCTAGAGATATCATGGATGAACATCTGCTGTTTCTATATTTGTTGACAGTAACAACACTGGATGAAAGTGTCTTCAGTTTTAACCCAGAAAACGAACCATGTTTCGGATTTGATGAAATGTTGGCTCGATACAATGAAATAGTCCCTCAGCTTCGACTGGCAGGTTGCTATATTCGGCTAACCATTGTTGTCTTTACATCATTCTAAAGAGGTTTCTGGTTCGGAATTTTGATCAGATGACACAGGCACAGCTGATGGTTTTCTGTTTAATTTCTTGTGGCAGAACCAACATCATTTGCACCTATCATCGAAATGGCTGTGGGTATCGTTGAGAGAAGTGGCGGTGACCACCATGTTTTACTGATAATTTCGGATGGACAGGTATGTATGTTCGATCTCATCTGGGATACTTTACAAATTTGTGGGTTCTAGCTATTGTATTGTTTGTGGAAGCAAGGAATCTAGACAATTCAAAACTTGGTTTCACAGGTAGACAGAAGATCCAATGTGGGGAGTGGCCGGTTGAGCCCACATGATAAGACAGTGGAAGCAATTGTACAAGCTAGGTAATGACTGATGATTAATTATTTCCTTCACAGACTTGTTTTCCTTAATTTGGCAACTACTCCTCAATCTTCTGCACCGCATCTTCTTCCTTGCTGCAGCGCATACCCATTGTCGATTGTTGCAGTTGGAGTGGGAGATGGGCCATGGGACGTGATGAGGGAATTTGCAAACGATATCCCTGATAAGGCCACTGGTAATTTCCAGGTATATTTAATTTCAGTACAGCTGATAGCTAGACGGCATTCAAACTTCAATAAATCCTTGTACTTATTGCTCTGTTGTTGCCCATCAGTTCGTGAATTTTACAGAAATCATATCAAGGAATATACCCAATTACAGGAAAGAGATAGAGTTTGCTCAAGCGGCCTTGAAGGGAATAGTTTTGCATCATGAGAAATTGACTATGCTTGAGATATTGGGGTATACTAATTGAGCATCTCTTCAGTGCTAGCTCTTTTCTATATGAGATATGATGTCCTAATTAAATTTTAACTTGTAATTCCTCCTTCTGTCTCATGCTTAATTAAACAGTTTTCCAAGAGGGGGAGCTCCAGCTACAGATCCTTTGCCTACACCCCTTCATCATCATTATTTTGAGGGATCAAATTTGCAGCCAACTGCACCTTCTGTGCAACCTGAAACAAGCAACTCCTTTCAGTCCTTTGACCACTCGGTAACCCATTTCCCTTGCTTAATTTATTCCTTTCTATCCTATATTATTTTATGGATTCTTGTGTTGAAACTTGAAACAAGTTGTCTGTTTTCTTTTCTGCTTTGTTTGCAATTTTTTTCTTCTTGAGTTATGCAACTCTTTTGAGATAAAGAGTATTAAAATGCTAACTTGTCTTGACTGACTTTGATGGACAATGGACAGACTTGCCCCATTTGCCTTTCTAATCCCAGAAACATGGCGTTTAATTGTGGGCATCAGGTAATGCATGCAGCTTTGCAATTTAGTAGGAGCCATTTGGTAAATCTTTTTGTATGGTCTTGGACTCTTGGGCTACTTTTCCTATTTAACAATAAAAGACAAAAGACTAAAAGAGCTATACCCTAAAAAACTCATGAAGCCTAAAATTGTAAATATCTGGAAGCTTCATTTAACAGTTCTGTAGATAATGGTAGATTAGGATAGGGGTGTAAACGGATCGGATTGGATTCAAATTAGGGTTTATCCAAATCCGTTAAGGGGAGATCCATAAATATGGATTTGAATTTGAATCCGATGAGACCATCCGATTTTCAGATCTCATTCGATCTGATATGTTTTTTTTTAAATAAATTATTAAAAGAAAAATAAAATATATATAACAATTTAAATAAGAAAACACAAAAATACAAATATCTTTCAACTATTTTCATCATATATATACATGTTTTTATAAAAAAATAAATTACATATATATTATATTTATATAAATAAATAAATAAATAACATATATATTGGATCGGGTAAAAATGATCCGAATATAATCGAATCCTATTATCCAATCTGAATCGGGGAAATCCAAATTCGACAGAATAGGATCGGATCGTGATCCAATCCATTTGCACCCCTGTACTAAAATACTTATCAAACGATCTCTATATCTTTAAATACAAACCCTGAAAATTCATTACATCTTTTGGCCATCTATCTAGACTATCGGAAGATTTTGTAAAAAAAAGTTACCAAATGGCACCCAACTCTAATTCACTCTGCCTGATTACTGGAAACTTTATATATTCTTAATTTATTTTGGCAGACATGTGGCGAGTGTGGACGGAGGATCAACAATTGCCCAATCTGTAGGAGCCCAATTGGAAGTAGATTAAGGCTCTATTGAGTGGCGGGTTACATTACATATGCCAAGTGATGCACTATTGCTACACAGATACTGCATGCAGCACATCACATTTTTGTTTTGTTTTCTGTTTTAATTGTCTGGGTGAGGATACTTGTTTAAACTGTAAATTATGTGGCAGCTTCTGAGTGTTATATATATTTAGATTGTAATCTGACGATGGCGGTGGCGTATTTGGTTACAATTGGGTGTATATAGAGTATAGTCATACCACCATCCTTTGGTTACAGCTATATATATGCCTGTGAGCTAAAAGTATTTTCGGATCCTTTAATTTTACTGCGTGGACTGGGGAATTTGAAATGTAGACTTTGATACACACTTGACTGGTAGCAATAATGTTTTTAATTCACCATTGACCTGGCCGATCGAATAGTTTTAACTGTCATTCGGCCAGGATTTTAGGTTCGGTTTAGTTAAGATCCATCGGACAGTTAAAAACCGATGGATTGGTCAAGACCCATTCCATTATAGATCTATTTGATCTGGTGATTGGATTGTGGGTTGTACATTCAATGCATGTAAACTTTTTAGAGGCCTTAACTTTGCATTTTAATTTCTAATTGGGATGATTTGTTTTTTTATTTCGAGTAACTTTTCGAGATTTATGCATCCCAAATTTCCGTAGATGTCTTGCTTTAGTATTTTTACGAAAAAAAACCTTTTTTTGACCTCAAATTACAATTATTAATATTTTTTATAAATAAAAAAATAAAAAACTAAATTAACAAACATAAATTAAATATAAAATAATACATATAATATATCTAAAACATATTTATACATCATTTATTGTTAAAATATTTATTATACATATATACATATATATATAACATAGCACAGTCTGAACCAAAGGCCTCAGGGTCGATTTTTAAAACAGTGGCTAGCAATTGTTTTAATGGGTCGGGTCAGATTTGCAAATTTGACGACACGCAATAAGTTACCTACAAGGAAATCTAACACCATAACAACAATAACAAACGAAGAGAGACGGATAAAAACAACTTGGTTTCATCCACCATAATGTATCTTCAACTTACCCACCAAACTGCTCTCGTTTTGGAAGGCAGGCCAGAGAAATAGACCGTTAGGTATGGACAATAAGGATTTGTTACTGCACGCACTTCAAAATTTAGAGGAGTGATTAGGGCATATCCCATTTTTTACAGGGGTACAAATGGACTTTATCATTATTCGAATACAAAATCTGATTCTATTTTGTCAGATTCCGATATTTTTTATTGGACTTTTGGATTGAATCAGATCGAATAATAGGATCTAATTAAAAAAAAATGCTTGTATTTTATGTTTTTCTTCATATAGACTGTCATGTTTTTTCTTTTTCAGTAATTTGTTAAATTTTATAGAAATTAAATTGAATCGTAACATACTCTAATATTCGACATCTTTAATGAATTTGAATTCGAATTGGCCTTTCTGAGATTGATTTGAAAAGGTTGAATATAAGATTTATTTGCATCTCTATCATCACATTACTGTAAAAAATAATTTTTTTTTTTTTTGTTATCATAGAAGTGGGCAGTTGGGTTCTTGTTTCTTAAGGATGTGCTCCTAAAGGAATATCTTTTTAATTTATCTTAAGAATTGACTTGATCCACTCAGCAGAAGAGAGTTACAATTAGAAATGAAAGAGGGCATTGGACAAGTGATTGCAAGCTGCTTCATAAGTTGGCAAAATTTGCTCTCTCTTGTAATCATACAATTTCTTGATCCTTGCCATCAAGAGAAGTGTAATGGATGATTGGGTGTACCCAAATCACTCCCCTACTGAAACTAATAGTCTAAGATGTTGGGATTGAAATCTGTCATTGTCAATAATTCAGATCTCCTACGCATAAGAATCCTACCCACAGCAATCCGCATGACACTATATAACATGCAAATATAGGAGATGTTATCAATATAATGTTATAATGAGGTGTGGACTTTATCCTAAGAATTGACTTTTGAGCTCCGCCACATCCCCTTAAATGTTAAGCGTGGGTAGAGTTATTGTAGGTAGGAGATCCGAACTGCATTGTCGAATGGGCTTGTCTGAGTTTGGTTTTAATGAGAGATCCTTGAATGTCTGCAACAACTAATTACGGTTTGATTTAGGGGATGTTTGGAATCGTGGCCATTTAAAAAAAAAAAAAAACGGTGTTACATTGGACCCATATAGGCATTTCAATAAACGCCCATATATATGAATATTTGGTTCAGGCGTTTATTGAAAAATCGGACATGCCTCGTAAATCAGGACCCCACCGATTGGCGTTTCATGCATCGGTGAACCGCTGCCCCCAACGGTTGACTGATGTGTATCCTATTTAGTGCTTACCTGTCAGCATATGCATGAAAAATGGTGATGAAAATCATCTCACTGTCTATGTGGCAGAAGCGTTTTTTTGTGAAAAACGGGTCTTAGAAGCATGGGCGTTTTTTCTTGAAAATCAGTCCTAAAAAGCGCTTATGCTTCCAAACACCTACTTATTTTGTCATCTTTTTTGTATAATAAGCATGTTAAAAACACTGTTCCTCATCTCCTTGATAGGCAAGCGAAAATGTTGAAAAGGGGATATGGTTCAATGCAGGCTGGGTGCATGTGAAATCCATCAACCTTATAAAATCCCTACCAACAACAAGCATTAACTATTATCGAAAGAACAATAATTCCATTGAACAAGGAAACCTTGATCCTTTGTTTTGGATTTGGAGATGGTAACTTCTTCACTAGTTGTTTCATATTGATTGAATTTTGTTGGGAAATGTTGTAAAGATATTAGCTGGCCCATCAATTTTTCGTGAGATTTAGCTAGCCCATTTAAAGAATTGGATCACAAGTAAATCTGGTTTTAAAGGGAATCTAAGTAGAGGATGAAGGTTTTCTTTGCTTTTTCTTTTTTCTTGTTCATTCCCCTAATCAATTATACAGCCTAAAGACTCTACACCATATTTTATTGACGCTACACCTCGGATTGTACAAATATGTCTATACAATGGGGGTAGCTCATTCCCTAATCCATAACCCTTCAATTCAGATGCAAGCGGGATTTCATTCTAATATGAGCACATACTATTTTTCTGGGTGAAGCATATGAATTTCAAGAATTCAGATCTATTTACACCAATCTCACAAGTACATCCTACCATGTATTGAGAATATCTCCCATACTTATGTATTATTATTCATGTGAGATATTCTCAATACACGGCGTAATATGCCTGTTAATTCGGTGTGAGATGCGCTTGGTTATTTGCTTTCCACTTCCGAGGACAAGGTGGCTATGTCAGGTTGACTCGGGTGAGGGAGTAACTGAGTAAGGTCGGCTAATACCAGAGATCCACCCAGCCGGAAGAACTATCATGTACATCAGGCCCAGATCAAATTGCCCTCTGAGATGGTGTTAATTGCCCAAAATACCCTTAAAAGAACACCTAGCGATTAAGGGTGTCAATGGTCCGGTTTTGGATTGAACCTCATCCAGTCCAAAATCAATTTGGACGGATTAGATGGATCAACAAGATATATTAGATTGGACCAACCCAGTCCAAAATATTTATTAGATTGAATTGAACCTGATTCGTTCGTAACAAATTTATATTGGATTGGGTTGGATTAAGCCAATATCTAGTCCATTGCTACAATATAAGAATATATGTTAATGGACCGGATTTGGGTTGAAACTAGTCTAAATCAAAATAAATTTGAACAGATTAGACGATCCAAACATTGAATTGGACCAATCTAAATTGATTCAAAACATTCATTGGATTGGATAAGACCTGTCCGTTTATAATAGACTCACATTGAACTGGATCGGATTGGACCAAATCCAGTCCAAATGGCACCCCAACTGGCAATCTCCCAGCTGGAGGCGATTAATTAGCTGTTTGCATCATTTAATTAGAAATTCAAAAGATGCCCAGAATTTTGCAAACATATGGCAAAGATTTTTATCTTTAACAATTTTTTGCTAAAATTTGCCCCATGAGAGATTGGGTAAATTAGAGATTATCTCACATGGAAGGTGGAACCCTTTTGTTCCCCAACCATATTATTGCACCGAAAGATCCCTAGGTTTTTATACTTGTCTCAATTTAACCATGAAATTTGTCGTTGAGTGTTGAGTGTTGTAAGCAAGATAAATAATGAATAGGAGAACCATCTAGCGTGAGAATAATGGGCATTTTTTGCACCATAACATTTTAAAGAAAAAAAAAAGAAAATAAAGAAAAACTGTTATATATATATATTTTACTATTTAGATATATGATCTTCTCATTTTTCTGGAAATCTAGACACATGGTATTTTCTGAGAAGGTGATGTTAAATCCCACAATCCACTACCATCATTCAGATAAATGGTTTCTCATTTTTTGGAAAGCTAGACATGTGACAATTTTTGAGAAATTCCTAGTAAAGCCCACAATCCACTACTAGTCTACAGCCCCCTACCATGTGCCTTCTTATTTTTCTGGAAAGCTAGACGGTAGACACATGGCATTTTCTGAGAAATTACTGCTAAAACCCATATCTCACTACCACCATTTAGACACGCGGCATCCTATTAATTCAAGAAATAGGATTCAAAAAGTGTGTAGTTTCATTCTTAAACATTCTCAATATACAATTATTTATTAGCTTAACACATGTTTATCCATAGTATAAATACAAATGGTGGGACCCATTAAAAGATTACCATAAGCTTATGTTTGTTTTTAAATGATTTTTTTAAAAAGAAATTAAATACTTTATTAGTTACAAACTTGATTTAACTTTTAGAAGCAACCTAATTTAACTTTTAAAAATAAATAACTCAAAATAGATTTATTAGATAAATAGTAAATATATACTAAATAAAGTGGGATATTGTTTACCAATAAGATCTCATTTAATATCTTAAATCAAGTTAAGAAAACATAAATTAATGGTGGGTTTCAATTAAAATAGATCAGAATATATTGTCAATTACAAAGATGTAAAACCCATATTAGTTTTTTTAATTTAATTTTTGATAACTAAATAGTAAACTTCAAAAGCTGATTGTGCATTAAAGTTATGTAAATTACCATAATTTAGTGTAATTAGAAAAACTATTATAACAACAATACTCGGTAATTAAATACTAAATATTAATAAAAATATAAAAAAATAATCATCACCATTGCTAATTAAAAATAATATTAATTTTCGGAATAATAAATTATTAATTTTCAATAATTATTTATTGGTTGAATAATAAATAAACTTCCAATAATTTCAGTAATCTATTGAATAATCAATAAATTATCCGTAATAGTCAATAAATTAAGAGGGGATAGGATTGGAAATATAAAATCATGGAGGGATAGGATTAGAAATATAAAATCAGAGTGTTAGACGATTCACCATATTTTAGTGATTGGGTTTAGGTCTGTCAGCTAGCTAATAATGGTAGTCTACTTTGGTTAGGAATAAATTAATAAACACAAGAATAGAAAAACGACTTTTACCAAACACAAGTTGAAGAAAATAAAATTTTAAAGTTTCCCCAATATTGGGTGCTTTCATTGGGAGGGAAGTTGGTCTATTCCTTCAAGAAAACATGTGCACTGGATATTGAACCATATATCGTTTTATAATGTTGGGTAAATCTAACATTGACAAAAAAAGGTATTTTATATAAAATTGTATTCTTAAGCAAATTAATAATATCATCATCATCATCCAAGCCTAAGGTGGATCACATGACTACATATGAGTCCTTTTTCACCCTTTTGTTCTGTTCAATGTTATATCCAACAAATAATATATAATTGAAAATTAAAATTAAAATAGAAAATTTCAATAAGTTGCATTTGTATTTGCATTATTTGCAAACGGAAAACGGAGTCTTAGGCTCAGTTTGGAAGAAGTATAAGTACAAATATGTACAATACAAATACATACAAAACAATACAAAATACATAATTTTGCACTCTACATATTTGTATTTATACTCCTTTCAAACTGAGCCTTAAGAAAAAACAGATATGAACAAACAGAATGCAAATGAAAACTCATAATTTTGTTTTATTTGTTTGCTTTTTCACACCATTATAGATTTGTGTTATGTTCTTAATTTCAGTGACAAATTCCAATGTTATATCTAATCCTGTAAAGCATGACATAAAGAAAACTGTTGAATAATTCGATCAATTCAAGGTTATCATGCAAACTTGGATAAATTCTAGAAAACAGTCAATATTTTCCAATTCCACATAATTAATAAGTGAAATGGTAATACTAAGTAATTAATAAATGGTATAAAGGGCAAAATAGTAATACCAACAACCAACATATAAATGTTAGAGAAATCTTTACCTTATCCTACCTCATAAATTTTTATTTGTTTTTTTTTATTTTATTTTTCAAAATTCCCATCTATAGTATTACTTTCCTTGTATTGTCAAATTCCTCCACTTGTCACTATTAATGCATCTAATAATTAAGGAGATTAGTTAAGCAATTATTAATAAACATTATTGAGAAAAAAAATACCACTAAACAGGTGTATCCCTTAGAACAAGACCATGATATTAGAAAACATTATTATTTACTGAGCACAAAACACGATAATTTTATTATTATTATTATTATTATTATTATTATTATTATGTTAATCTTATAGGGAGTAAGACAAGGCAACTGTTATTATACAATATTAATAAAACCATGCATTAGTTGATAATTCTGTCAAACTGTATTGAAGGATCCACTTAGGGGGTGTTTGTCAAAATTAACCATGCTTTTTGAAACAAAAACAACCGTCTCACATTTTGTTGGGAAAACCAAACTTATACATATGTCACGAACACCCCTAGATTATCGATATAAACCGGGTAGTTAACAGTTGACCCGCCACATTTCCTTACCATACTTTAAACTTTTATTAAACTGCATTGACGGTATGATTCGTGGCTGATAATAAGTTTTCATCACTAAAGTATGATGAATTTATTGCTTTTCTTTCTTTTTTTTCTTTTTTTCTCAATTTTTTGCATACAAATATCATTAACGTTATATTTGATGATATTGTTATTTTTATCTGAAATATTTAAAGTTGATCAACACAAATCTCTCACCAATTTGTAATTATCAACAAGTTTCAGGTAAAACAATGATGGGGTACCAAACACAACCTAAATTTGTAAATTTGTAGTTTGATAAATTCCTTTCTAATTCATGGTTGTAATATAATTTTGTTAGTGTCCAGGGTCCCAACTCCCAAATCCTAAATCGATGTTTGTTAAGATCAGATGCCAGTTGGACATGTGCCGATCCATCCATCTAATTAAGAAGTCAACTACATACATTCAATCTCATAGTAATCAAAACTTCACAACGCTTTGTGGGTTGGGACACCCTCTAATTATTGGACCCCTAACTACTACTATTCTTGGTGGGTAATGTTTATTCATTATTTGTTAGGGACTTGGAAAAATGATTCTGTTTTATTTTAGAACTATTATTTTTTCAAAAATTGTTGATTTAGTCAATAAATCGTTAATCCAGGTGGTCGAACCGTTTGAACTGTTCAATGATTTTGGTTATTTTTTATTTTTTTAATTTAATTTATTTTTTTCTTATTAAAATGAATTATTCGTTCGGTTCAAATGATCGGACCATTCGACTCGAGAACCAGACCTTTAACTGATTCATTGTCTGATTCCATTTTAAAAACCTTGGATTTATCAATTAATTGGCTGATTAGATCGTTTAGACCATAAAACTCATTACTCGTTAAAATAACCAGGAACTGGAAAGCCTCCATCAGAATACTGGGTCATTATTTTCTTTTCTTTTTTTTTGGGTAAAAAGGTCTGAAACACTGGACCATCGTTTAGACCTTTTTTTGGGTAAAAAGGTCTAATTTTACATCTTAATATTAAAAGGGTTGAGGAAAAACTTGTAACTAAATATCAATCATCTGTACCATGAAAGTAATAAATTGTGGGGGGGGGGNGAGTGGATGGTTTTCAAAACTGGACCGGACCGGATGGTCAGCTCAGAAAAACCGGGAACCGGTCACCTGACCGGTTACGTTTTTCCTCAAACCCGCCTTTTTCCTCAAAATCATTGATTTTGGTCAACAAACCGCTGAACCTACCGGTTAATCATTCGAACAGTTTTGACTGTTTTTCAAATTTTTTAATTTTTTTTATTATTTTTGTCAGAACAGGCCGGCCGTTCGAACCGGTAACCGGACCCCTGACCAGTTTGATTTTTAAAACCATGGGTGAGTGGCCCTTTCGGTACATAGTTTTTTTTTTCAATTAAAAGACAATATATACCCACATAGAAGGGTATTTTGGGTTTAAACTTACCCTGTAAATAGAGGATAGTGAGAAAAGCACATAAATTCTTTTTTTATTCAAACCCCAAACTTTACTCCAGATGTACGAGAGGCCACCTTGTTTAAAAAAAAAAAAAAAGAAAAGAATAAACATGGATCCCCTTCACTCACCACATTTAGCCATTGCCACATCTTGAAAACTTCAAAGGTAAACTTCAAATAACTGGTGTGGGTGTTATTTCCATAGTCTTCTCCTGCTACAGAGAAATATATTAATAATTAGAAATTCAGAGCTTAGCATTAGAAATGAGAATAAAAATAGTATATAGTTAGGACCACTATCATTATTAAATTATAATTGCAGGTAAAAGATGCTACAGTTGGATGGCTAGGTTTCAAATAGGTGTCTTAAACCCTAAACAATGAGAACATGGGCTTGGTAAGCTCAAGCCAAATTCTTTAATAACCAAAAATAAACGAGAAAATTTGAAAAAAAAAAGGATGGATGGATGGGAATATTTTTTCATGATTTTTATTTTCTGCAAATTAAAACAATATATATAAATTGAACCTGAGTAGTTAACTGTTAGTCCCTCTCTGACGTTTTCATGCTTAACTGGATTTTTGATATATTTTAAGTGGGGAAGACTTCGAATGGAGTCCTTTTCCTGTATATAAGGCTGTGGCCATCTTTTGCTGTGTAGAGAAGTTGGAATAGCATTTCCTTGTGAAGGATGAGGACAAACTCAGTCCCCTTTCTAGTCTCCATTCTAGTTCTCTGTGTTGTTGGGTTATGTCATGGAGATGGCCTGAAGAAGCATTTCTACAAGAAAAGCTGTCCTCAAGCTGAGGATATCATTAGGAAAGTGGTTTGGAAAAATGTAGCCCAGGATGCAACAATTCCTGCTGGGCTCGTGAGGCTGCATTACCATGACTGCTTTGTTAGGGTAATAACTAATAAGAATTGTTTTATATGTTTGCTGTGTACTTAATGGATATTATCTCTCAGTCAGTTTCATTGGTTTGATTCTTCAGGGCTGTGATGGGTCGGTTTTATTGAACTCTACCAAAGATCATTTGGCTGAGAGGGATGCACAACCAAACCTAACTCTGGACGGTTTCGAAGTTGTTGATGAGGCCAAGGATGCAGTGGATAAGGCTTGCCCTGGAGTTGTTTCTTGTGCTGATATCCTTGCTTTGGCTGCTAGGGATGCAGTTGCCTTCCAAGTAAGTTCAATTTCTTCTTTTTTTTTTTCTAATTTTGTTGATTCATCATCATCATCTCCATCTTCATATAAGTCGAGTTCAGATTTTCTCCTCACACCCACCTCACAGTATGTTGCAACCACGGAAATATCTCTTATATGTATTGTTTTCATTCATGGGAAGATGTTAATGTATGGCTACAAGTGCTGTGAGGTGGGTGGGTGTGAGGAGGAACTCCGGATTTATGTAAGGGTTGTTTCAACTACATGAACCCTATTTTATCATTCAGTTGTATTTAGTGCTATAATCACTTATATAGAATTTTTTTGCAACCCATGACCTCTTTGATCTGCCCCTAGCTCTTCTTCTGGTCATGTCAACTCAGAATTCTTCTTCTATGATTTGAAGATGTATTTGAAGAAATTACAGGACCCATTTGGAGAAACTGATTTACTAAAGTCATTAATTAAGCAAACTTCTGAACAAATTAATTCCTATTTCTTGAATGATTAATTGGAACAAAGACAGCATGATTTACCCAATGAATGGATGAGCTGATTGTGTGTAGTTGATTTGGATTTGCAGTTCAAGAAACCAATGTGGAAAGTGCTAACTGGTAGAAGAGACGGCAGAGTTTCAATTGCCAAGGAGGCAGTTGACAACCTCCCTCCCCCATCCTTCAATTTTGCTGAGCTTGTGAAAAACTTTGCTAGCAAAGGACTCGATGTTCATGACCTTGTGGTGTTATCAGGTGTGTATATATGAAAATTATCAGACAAAGTATTTTGGCTTAAGTTTCTTTTTTCTTTTTTTGAAATTTCAGGATTTTGGATACTAATAAAAAAATATTAATGAAATATTTAAGTTAAAAAAATAGTAAAATCTCAGGCTATCAAATGTGAGAATGAATAAAATAAGCTTGTTTTATTGCAGGAGCACATACCATAGGACAAGCACACTGTGAATCCTTCTTCAAAAGGCTCCACAAAAATCATGGAGGTGCAGAGAAATCTCTGGATCCAAAATATGCAGCTTTCTTGGCATCTCAATGTCCAAATCTTTCAAACAAAACAACTCAAGTAGACATGGATCCCCAGAGCGCTGAATCGTTTGATAACCATTACTATGTGAACCTGAAGCAACACAAGGGTCTGTTCCACTCTGATGCTGCCCTTCTGACTAACAAGAAGTCTGAGAAAATCGTCAACAAATTGCTTGACCAGAAGGCCTTCTTCAAGGCATTCGCCCATTCAATGAAGAAGATGGGAGCCATCGAAGTTCTCACTGGGAACAGCGGAGAGGTTAGGAAGAAGTGCACTGTTGTGAACTAAACTAAAGTTTCTAGTTATATCCACCTCTTAATTTTTTTGGTGAAATGATGGGCTTCACCTGTTTCAGCAAGTTTGTGATTTTTATGTTTATTTTTCGCTTTTTTAATTTGTTCTTCCATTAACAGAGGGAAGGCTCTATTTGGATACGGAAAATGATTACTGTTATTTGTACTTTTTAGTAATAAAAGGATTTATGTTTCTTTTTTGAATTGATCTTCTAATAATGCAAAATTGCGAATAACATTAATCTCATATAAATGATAATGTCCCAAACTAATTTTAGTAAGAGGCATGTTACAATTAATGGAGTTCTCATCACAACTCTAAGTAGCCACGTGTCTATGTTAAATAGATAGGAGGCCAACTAGCAAGCACGTAGACCCAACTACCATCTCTGACTAGGCTACTGGATTGAATGCAGATAGTCCTTAAAATGTCAAAATATTCAGGTTCTAATAAAGCTCAGATGTCCCGGCCTCCAGGGTCATGTCCTGTGAAAACAATTACTTGTAAGTCATCGTATCTTACAAGAAAGAGCCTTGAGGGTCATGGGGTATTTGCGCAGTTTGATTTTAGGGCTTGTGATGGATATCATTAATATCATCTAAGCCTTGTTTCAAGTAAGGGTGAGAAAAAAAAAATAAAAAAATCGAATTGACCGAAAAAATTGATCGAAACCGAACCGAAAAATTGGTTAATTAAATCGATTGGTTCAATTTCAGTTTGGTGTTTTAAAAAATCGAAGGTAGTGATTCGGTTTCAGTTAATCAATATAGAAAATCGGCGGTTAATCGAACCGACCGATATACATATATTTCTATATATTTTATATATATTTATGTATATTATATATATTATATTTTTATATATTATAAATTAATAAATATGCATTATATATATAAATATATATTTATAATATATTATATATTATTTATTATTTATTATTTAAAATAAATATTTTGTATATATTTAAAATTTTTTATTATATATTTATAATACCTTTTTTATAAAATATATTGTAAAAACTAAAAAACTGAAAAACCAATGAACCGAATTGATGGTTAACCGAACTGATCAACCAATTAACCGACTGACTTTGATTTGGTTCTAGTTATCAATTTTCCAAAAACCGATAATACCAATTCAGTTCCAAAAAATGCCCCACGATTCGATTAACCAAACCGTGAGCACCCTAGTTCTAACTATATGGGCTGGGGTTGGCTACAGGAAGACTCACCGTTCCGTTCTGTTCAATGGCATATCCACCCAACCAAATTAACTTCTTCGGATGTTCCAAGTTCCAACTCTTTTATCATTTCCTGAGATGAGATTACTATAAGAAAAATGCTAAGGACAGTAATTCTCGAATAAGGCTGTGTTTGTTTTTTTGCGTAAACTTCATTAACGTAAAAGTATATCGATGGAAATAAATGCCAATGGTTTTAAAATTTAATGAACTGCTAGAACATTTTTAAATGTGATAAGTACATTATTATTGACAGAAAACTCAACTGATAGGGAGGTTGACATTGATGTAAACTTTACATCGAAAACAAACACGTGAAAATATGAATCAGGAATGAAGTTTTACACTAATCTGTAACTATACTGAAAACAAATGCCAACAAATACAATGATTGAGTTTTATGTCGATTTACATTTACACCCATAACAAACACAGCTAAATAAATAAAAATATATAAAAGCAAATATGCTAGTGGTAATTGTTAACTATCTACCAAAAAAACTCACAGTGGACATGGCAGGCTTCAAATGCATATGCGTAGTCATTAGTGCTTCATTTAATTTGGTCCTTCAGAGATAGGTTGAACTATTCAGTTGGGTACATGAAGCGATTCCTTCCCGTAGAGACGTTGAAAAACATGTCAATAATAGCATGTTAGTATGCCCACATCTTCAGTGCAAGGTTTTAAATATTGATACAGGCTGATAGGTTGGTAGTGGTGTTTTTTTTTATGTTTTATTTTTATTTTTTTGAAATTGATTCAGAGGGGCCAGTTTAAAGTCTGGTTATCCTCTGAATCAGTGGCTGATCCGATACAACCCCTGTATCGACCTATATTGGTGTTTTTTTTTTACTTATTTAATATTTTTTGAAATTAATTCAGAGGGGCCAGTTTAAGGCCTGGATACCCTCTGAACCAGTGGCTGAGTCGATACAATCCCTGTATGGATGTATTGGAAAGCCACTAGCATGATACGTATTAACTGATACAGGTCAATACGTATCGATACTTTGAACCTTGCTTCAATGTTCTATTTCTTCATTGCATAGGCAAATATCCAGAGATATTGACTCTTTGGGGTCGATATGTAGGGAGTTAATTTGTTTCTCAGCATTAACCAAATGAATATACGATAAACTTTCTTCAGGATTTCTCATTTCTCACCATGGCTTCGCTGTGAACCTGCCTTTTCGATCAGAACCCCATAAAAAAAATAAATAAATAAAAGGAAAAGAAAAGAAATCACTTTGCATCAACTGATGCAAAGGGGTGGGGTTAATTAGTTTATTTTAACATTTAGATCAACATAATCAGTCACCCTAGCTTCACTGTCATTTTGACCTCTTTTCTAAGAGGTAATTACGGGGTATTTGAAATGGTGTGGACCATTTCGGTCCATGCCACAGGTTTTTGCATTCGTTTATACTGTTGCATGTAGGGGTGTCAATAGTATTTGAAAATTCGATTTTGAATTCAAAATTCGATATAATTAAATTGAACTCAAATAGTTCAAATATGATAATCAGTCAAAATCAAATAATAAATTTATACCGTTTAATTTATCGAATGGAATGCGAAGATAATATGATTAGATAAATACTCAAAACCAATTATAGACATATGTATAGGTTCTTTGATTGCATTTATAATTTATAAAATAATAAATTTCATATAATGTAGTGATTTCAAAGCTTAACTATCAAATTAGATTGAACAGAAAGTTGGAAGTTATTAAGAAAATAAATGTTTTAATAATATATTTTTAATTTGTCTTTCAAAGTTGATGATGTGCGATCTGGAAGCTCCTAGTTGGAAAATTGCCTGGATGTACTTGCGTGGTGAGCTGGATCTACAAAACAGCGCTCAGAGGGACCGGGGTAGAAGACCTAGTGAGGTCGCTCCGATGCTTAAGTCAGTATTTTGTGTGTTTACGAGTTAGTATGGATGCTAGAGAGCTTTTATGTGAGTAATCGCACATAACTCGACCCTGGAGGAGTTGATGCCCTTATATAGCTGAGCTATCATGGGTCTCGCGAAACAGTTCCGAGATCTTTGGCCTGAGTGGATGAGATTCGTTTCCGCTTTAGTCGGGGGGGGGGGTAATGTACTAGTCAGTGAAGTTTATCATCACCGCCCAATCCGGGCAAGAAGAGGATAAGGCCTGCCGTTACGTGGCGTGATCTTGTGACGTTCGGAGTCTGTTGGGAAGCTTCTGGAATTGATTACGTGTCACATCGGTTCCTGGGCCCTGAGCTAGCTTAGGCGCCAAGGTGCCTTTATGCCGAAGTGACTCTATGTTGAGGTGCCTTTATGCCGAGGTGACTTTGTGCCAAGATGACTTTATGCCGAGGTGGCCAAACATCTGAACTCTTAGAAGTGCTAACTAGGCTCCCCTTACTGAGTTGTCATTCTATGGGCAAATTGCGTCCACGTGACTTTTACCTACTAGGTCGTGCCAAATTACCCCTCATCAAAAGTGATGTATTGATTTTAGATCTGATTGCACAAAAGGTTTGACTTTATTAATAAATAAATATTTTAATGTATTTCTATTTATCTCTAATATAATGTAATGATTACAAAAATGATACAACCAGTTGATTTAAATTTATGGGAAATTGTCTAAAACTCACCATCAATTTTCAGCATCTCTTAAACTTACCATAATTTTTCAAAATGTCTAAAACTCACCATGTCAATAAGTTTTTATTTTCCAAAACTTACCTTCCATTAGTGCACCGTTAATGCTTCTTAACAGAGGTGTCCACGTCAGCAAAAATAACAATTTTTATGACCAAATTACCCTTGGATGGTGAGTTAGAGGAGGAAAAGGGTCTTTTCAGTTTTCAATTTTCATGTTTTTTTTGCATTTTTAGTGTTTTCTTATAATTTCCCATGTTTTCATAATTTTTGTTTTTTTTACAATTTTCTATTTTCTAAAATCTATAAATTTTCCTATATTTTTTGTTATTTATTTGCAATTTCTGTGTTTTTCTATAATTTTTGGTGTTTTTTCTACAACTTTTATTTTCTTATTTTGTTTTTCAATTTCTATAGTTTTTTATAATTTGAAAATAGTTTTTTTATTTTGTTTGCAATTTCTATAATTTTTTATATTTTTTGAAATTTCTGTGTTTTATGTATTTTATATTTGAAAATGTTTTTTTGAACTTTTTCCTGTTTTTCATGTCTAATTATTAAAATATATGTATATATTTTATGTTTTTCTATGAAGGTTAAAATGGTAATATATTAACACCTGTTAGTTTGTTTAATGTCAAGTTAGTGACATGGTGAGTTTTAGACTTCTGAAAAATTGTAGGGAGTTTAAGAGAAATACTGAAAACTTAGGGTGAGTTTTAGACAATTTCCCTAAATTTATTAATAAAATATATGCTATTTTAATCATTTAACTTATTTTGTGATAAAATTGAATGCATAAAAGTTATATGTAAGGCCAATTGTGGGATGAGGATGGTCCAACTTAGAAAACCTAGAGGAAGATGGCGGTGGTTGTAGAGGTCGATGGTTCTCATTTCTTACCATGGCTTCTCTGACAACCTGCCTTTTGGATTTGTCATTTCTCACCATGGCTTCTCTGTGAACCTGCCTTTTGGATCAGGGCCCCATAAAAAAAGAAAAAAAAAATCACTTTGTATCAACTGATGCAAAAGGGGTGGGGTTAATTAGTTTTGATTTCCACATTTAGATCAACATAATCAGTCACCCTAGCTTCACTGTCATTTTTACCTCTTTTCTAACAGGTAATTACGGGGTATTTGAATTGAAATTGTATATATCTCGTGGTGTGGACTGTGGACCATTTCGATCCATGCCACACTGATTTTTGCATTCGTTTATACTGTTGCATGTAGGGGTGTCAATGGTATTTGAAAATTCGATTTTAAATTCAAAATTCGACATAAATGAATTGAACTCAAATAATTCAAATATGATGATCAGTCAAATTCAAATAACAAATTTATACTGTTTAATTTATCGAATCAAATTTGGAGATAATTTGATTCGATAAATATTCAAAACCAATTATAGACATATATGTATAGGTTCTTTGATTGCATTTATAATTTACAAAATAATAAATTTCATATAATGTAGTGATTTCAAAGCTTAACAATCAAACTTGATTGAACAGAAAGTTGACAGTTATTAAGAAAATAAGTGTTTTAATAATATTTTCTAATTTGTCTTTCAAAGTGATGTATTAATTTTAGATTTGATTGCACAAGAGGTTTGAATTTATTTATAAAATAAATATTTTAATGTGTTTTTATTTATTTTTAATATAATGTAATGATTACAAAAATGATAGGGCCAGTTAGGTTTTTGGAAGGAATACAAATACAAATACGTACTGTATAAATACATACAAAATAATACAAAAGATAAGATTTTGCACTCTACATATTTGTATTTGTACTCCTTCCAAACTAAACCTTAATAAAATATATGTTATTTTAATCATTTAACTTATTTTGTGATAAAACAAATGCATAAAAGTTATGTATAAGTCCGACTGTGGGATGAGGATGGTCCAACTAAAAAAACCTAGAGAAAGATGGTGGTGGTTGTAGAGGTCGATGGTTCAGGGAAGGGAGAGAGAGAAAATGTGAGTCCCCCCCTCCCTTAATGGGTTTGATCAATATGATGTTAATGTGTCATGGAGCCCTATTTATAGTGTTTTGGACCTCTATTCTCTAGAGTCTTCTCATATTTCTTTTTTGCCCTTAATTGTTATTATGGACTGATCTTAAATGCTATTATTCTAGAAGATTCTAGTTCTTGAATTGTTAATAATTTTACTTAGATTGATAACCATATTGAACCAATTCAGTCTGGTTTGGATTTGAGACCGGCTTCAGTGAGGACAAATTCATGTCCACACCGTTCTAACAGCCTTTTTCAACCTTGCATTGGGAATATTTCCCTATGAAATAAAGCATATAAATATGGAGATATTCTCAATGTAAGACAGTAAAGACTGTCCGAACAGAATTTGCCCTCACTGAAGCTAAACTCTTTGGATTCATGCCGGATTGACCGAGTTAATGTATTTACATAAATTCACTGTCTCACAATAGGCGTACCTATTAATTTTAAACCTCATCAAATATTCGATAATATAATCAAAATTGAATTCAATATCCCCCGAAGGTTGAAATGCCTAACCTCAATTTTCGACAGGGTGCACTAAGGTTAAAATCTTACTCTCAACCTCCTTTGGTTCAAGACAACTTGAAAATTGGGATATTAGGCATTGGTGGAGAAACTTTTCCAACTCCCAGATTCTTTCTTCTAAAACAAAAACTTTGATGGAAACTCCAAACATTTGAACAACTGCTCTCCCCTCTTCAGAAACTGCCATTGTCAACAACTGCTGATCTCCCTTCTTCTAGAGAGACTTCTTTTAACAAGTCCAGAAACACCCTAAAGTTCATAGGTTCAGTGACGGAGCAAACTTTGCCTGTACTGGAGCTGGAGCTCTAATTGAATCCAATCCAGAACTGGTAATCGACCTCAATAGCTAAGCTACTTTAAAAGGTGGCAACGGGGTTGGGACAGGAACTAAGAGATGATGAAACTAAGAAGCTATTCTCAAGAGTAATTTACTCAAGTATAGGGGTGTCAATTGGACTGGATTTGGTCCAATCCAATCAAATCCAATCCAATGTGAGTGCATTATAATCCAACCTAATCCAATATAAATTTGTTACGGATGGACTAGGTCCAATTCAATCTAATTAATATTTTGGATCGAATTTTGGTCCATCCAATCCGTCTAAATTGATTTTGGACTAGATGGGGTCCAATTCAAAATCGGTCCATTGACACCCTCATACTTAAGTAGCATGGGAGACAACGATTACTTGTTTCCTTTCTTGACCAACTCCAACATTCCAAAGTTTTCTTAGACATAATTATATATTGTTTGCCGGATATGGTATTCAACAGAACAGTGAGACTTGTGATCAACCCCATATAATTGAGATAAGCAATAATAATATTAATTATTAATTTAAAAATATAAATTTTAATTATATTTATAATTCTATATAAAATATAAAATCATACTATGACTTGGAGGATTAGGCTTTCATCTTCCAATGTATAAAAGGTATATTTTAAAAATTAATGCAATTTGTGTGTTGCGAATTTGTTAAATGAGGAGTCAAACAAAACTGTGCTGCTGGTCTGATCAATGTTGATTGTTTAAAAACCGAAAACTAAATAAAAAGATACAAGGTTCAAATTTAAATATCCAGTGCACATGTTCTCTTGAGGGAATAGACCAACTTTCCTCCCAATGAAAACACCCGATAATGGGAAAACTTTAAAATTTCCCTTTCTTTAATTTGTGTTTGGTAACACAAACTCAACCAGCAGAATTTCATTAGAAACAGAAACTAACAATACAATCAGGCGTAGAGATGTCAATGGATCGGGTTAAATGGTAAATCCGGCTTGACCTGACCCTATAGGGTCAGGTTAAGTTCAGATATATTCAGGTTTAGGGTTTTGATTCTTTCACCCGAATTGGGTTCAGGTTGGGTTTGGGTTTTGGCTTACCCACCCCGCCGGGTCATGACACCTTGCATATATACCAAGTATTCTTGCAGTTTTTTGACTTTTAATTCTATAGTCTTAAAGTTTATGATTTATTTACATGTTAATTTTGATTTTTTTAATAGAAAAAGTGACATCTAATCTATAAAACAATTTCTTAACTTAAAAGTCTTCAAAACATGTTAAAAAATATATTTAAAATGCTACGGGTCATGACATGTCAATATCGGGTTAGACCCTATAGGATCAGGTTGGGTTCGAAAATCATATATTTTTAATCTAGATTGTATCAAGTTTAGATTGGAGTGCTGGAGGGTCAGATAAGGGTTGAGACAAACCTGTGCCGAACCCAACCCATTGACATTCCTAATCAATGGGTTTTTATTAATTTATTTCTAGCCAAAGTAGGCCTATCATTATTAGCTGAGAGACAATATGAATGACCAATTCATATCAATGCACGAAGTTGGGTATGAATTCACGTGAATATTAATATGAATGATATTCATATAGTCATCCCTAAGCCATATTTTAAGGGCCCGTTTGGTATATGAATGCAAGTGCATATCAATATGAATGATATTTATATAGTCATCCCTAAGCCATATTTTAAGGATCCGTTTGGTTTATAACTGGATATGGAATCAAAATCTTTCGGAATTGAAATTGGAATGACCTATTTCCATAGTTTGTTTGGTTCAGATAGAAATGGGAATGAGAATTAAAATCAGCAAGAATGAGATTTTATTCCCAAGAGAGGGGCAGGGAATGGCCATTCCCTCAAATGGGAGAATGCCAGTCCAGCAGGAACGGGAATGGAATTCCAATTCCATTCAACCAAACAGTTGGAATCGGAATAACCCATTCCGATTCCGATTCCAGACCCCTATTCCTGTGAACCAAACCGGGCCTAAAATGTTTTAAAACATTTATGTATAATGTATCCATGGGATTTGGGTCATCGATACGGATACGATAAAAGCATACTGTATTGATATTTTAATAATATCAAAAATAAAGAAAATATAATAATACACGGGTGTGTGGGCACATGGGTGTATGGATGCATGGGCTCATGGGTACATAGCCACAGGGTTGCACGGGTGCGTGGGGGCACGTGGGCGCATGGGTGTATAGGCCCATGGGTAGACAGACTGGAGCAAACTCTAAACAAGTTAAATAGATTGCACCAGAAATCAACGTCTCAACTTCCTATGCTTAGCAATTTTCATAGGAAATTTCAGAAAATATGGAAAAGTTCGAATCTGTCTCATGAAATATTCGAAGTACTTCTTAAGGAAATTTCATGTGACATTTCTTTATAGAATTATATTATACTTGTTAGAATCTGTCTCATGAAATATTCAATGGAAAAGCTTTCATATTTAACTACATTTCTTTTAGAACATTAGGTCTATTTATGCTTGAATTTTAAGATTTATTTCATATGATAGAAATTGTAATTAAATAATATTTAATTAATTAATTTCTAACCATGTTATTGACTTAATTAATCAATTAATTAAATTTTTATACTTTACTATTTATATTAATTAAATTTTTATACTTTACTATTTATATTAATTAAATTTTTATACTTGATCAACAGTGTAAATCATCTCACATGTTGTATGTGAGATATATAGAATCAAAACAGAAGGTATGGACTAAACTGCATCATCACACCTTGTCACACCTTGCAGAACGCCTCTACAGATTTAGTGTGGTTGTCTATTCATTTTGTCTACAAAACAAAGCAACTCTTCTGCTGTGGCGTGGTGTGATTCATCCACACTACATGTGGCGTGGATGAGAATACACCACCCAATTTCTCATCCATACCACAAAACAACCCCTACAAAGGTTTTTCATTAATTCAGTTGTCCACATGGAAACTTGTTTTTCCCCATTTCCAACAAAGCATCTTGCACCGTTCATGACAAATTTTCCCCCAACTCAGAGGCTTTCCCATTGTGGCAGATAGTGAGGACTCCTTTCCCAAGTCTTGTCTTGTTACTAGCCTTTTAGTATCTTATGCATTGTTGTCATGCATACCATTCATTATTTGAGATTAACTGAAGAGAAGAGGAAAAGCATAACTTGAAGAGAGTTGGTCAATTGCCATCTAAAATAATTTCCAATCAATGCAAATGTGTATTCAAGACTCAAAAGTTCATTTAGAGTTTCACCATAAAAGAACAGATTGTTTTCCGTACTCTAGCTTTCCATGAAGTTTCAAACCAAAGAACAGTTGAATGGTTGCATTGATATACGATAGTACTGAATACTGATACATGAACATTTTGTATATTTTTCTTATAGATATTAGAACTCTGCTGTTTTCCGGGTTGCTGAAACAACAATTACAAATGGAAAAAGTTTTCTCACCAAAAATCTTTACATGAACATGACCCATCTTTGAAATGGTGAAATCGGTTCCGGTCCCTCACCACAATTTCTCGATTATAAACTTTGGAGATGAACTTAGTAGCAGAGTGACAATCACCACACACACGCAAGTTCTTGACAATACGGATTGGTGTCCCTGGCAATGTATTAAGAAGTGCAAAAGCAATAGCAAGCTTCTCGCTATGCCTATTCAGTGCATCTTCCTTATCTTCTTCGTCAATATCCAGTAACACATCTGATGTTACAGGAATGTACCCAGCTCTCTTCACCATTCTCCCCATCTCATCCAGCATCTCATAGATCTCTTTGTACTGACTATGTGTTTTATCTCCTGCCACAAATTCATATATCTCACTATTAAGTTCGATCATGCTGCAACCAGGGACCTTCCTTAGCCCCCTCTTATCCATCACTTCTCTAATCTTTGTTTTGTTTTCCCATCGGAACATTTTGGCATAGATGTTCGACAACAAGACATAGTTTGACCCATGAGTGGGTTCATCTCCTATAAGTCGTCTGCTGATGGTCTCACTAAGCTCAAGTTCACCATGGACCCGGCAAGCATGAATCAAGGTTCGCCAAATTACTGGATTTGGCGCAATTGGCATCTCCTGAATGAACTCTAATGCTTGTTTGACAAGCCCAGCTCTGCCAAGCAAATCAACCATGCACCCATAATGCTCTATCTTGGGCACAATGGCATACTCACTTGCCATAGAGCTAAAATAACGTTGACCCTCTTCAACCAACCCAGCATGGCTGCAGGCTGAAAGCAACCCAATGAAGGCAACATCATCTGGAGCTACTCCAGCTCTCTTCATTTCCTCAAAGAAAGCAACAGCTTCCACGCCACGACCATGCATAGCCAGACCTACGATCACTGAAGTCCAAGAAACAATAGTTTTGTCATTCATCTTCCGGAACACTCTCATTGCTTCATCAACATCACCACACTTGGCAAACATGTCAATGAGGGCATTACAAAGCTCAACCGTCTTCAAGACCCCCTCCCTTTCAATATAAAACTCTAACCATTTCCCTAGCTCGAGTGCACCCAAATCAACACAAGCTGAAAGAACCGAAACCATGGTAACCTCGTCGGGCTTAACCCCAGCAATTTGCATTTTACGGAACAGTCCAATTGCGTTATTAGACCGACCCAAACGAGCATACCCACCAATCATCGCGCTCCAAGAAACATGGCTCGTCTTGGGCATTTCGTCAAATACCTTGCGAGCAAACTCGATGCCCCCAACACAGCAAGCATACATGTGAACCATGGTATTCTGAACATAGAGATCAGTGTCGAACCCAAATTTTGCAACGGACCCATGAACCTGTTTACCCAAATTCAAGTCAAGGAGGCCAGCACATGCCTTAAGGAGGAAAGGGAAGGTAAATTTATTGGGTGGGATGGCATGGTGAAGCATGAGACTGTAAGAAGAGATTGCGTTGTGCTTGGCGTGGCTGGTTTGAGCATAAGCTCGAATAACAGTATTGAACAGAAAAGCGTCATACAGATGGTGGGTACTAATGGAGTCAAGGTGGGAGAATGCGATAGATGCAGCATAATCGATGACGTTGAGATGGGAGGACGTTGAAGCGAATTTAGTCAGAACGAATGCATTATTTTGAAGACCGGATTTAAGCAGGTGGGCGTGAATTTGGGTGAGTTTCGCGAGTGAGTTGCAGCTCTCTAGTAAAGCTAAGCAGTTCTGCTCTGCTACTCTGCTGTTGTTATTGTAAAGGGATGTCGTTGCTGCCGAAGATCGTAAGGTGGAAAGCTTTTTGAATTGGGCAAGTGAGCTGAGTTTCAATCGAAACAAACAGCATACTAGAGTAAGATCTTCATTGAGGGAACAACTCAACATCACTCCCTCTTCCGGTCCGGTTTCGTGTGCAAGTGCAATTTAACAGTTTGTTTTTGTGGTTCGACCATAAAAACCGATAACCCGATTTTAGATCGGATTGGTAACATTTTCAGTTCGAATTAATGAATTGTGTTAAAGTTGGACCCGACTGTTTTTAGCACTTACCCATGGTTTTAGATTTCAGAATATTTTGCAAAATTTTAGTTCTAGATATATATTTTTTTAATTTCTCTGAAATGTCTGGATTTCATGTATTTATTTCACCTGAAATTTTGGACGAAGTATTAATGGTAATAAAAATAAATAATATGTATTTAAAAATATTATAGAATAAAGAAAATTATCAATGAAATAATAAAGTTCTGAAAAAAATCATAAATTTTCAAAATTATCATTGAGGATATAGAATCTAAAATGACCAAATTATCCAAGCTCTAAACCCATGCCGTTGTTCATGTGATTCAATTCTACCAAAAAAAATTAATTTAAATTATTTTATTAGTTTTTCTCTATCATTTAATATGCTATGCTTTTTATTATTTGGGTTTTTTGGGTGAAGAAATCTAAACAACCCAAAAAATACTCATGTGGCAATTATATATTGGGTGCTAAAAAGACTCACCAAGTTTCTCTATGCACTTTATATATGAAGCAAGTTTCAAATCAAAAACCCTAATAAGCTTCAGCTGTGTTCTTTATAATTTAAATTAAGAAATTAAAACTTGAACATTTATTTTTAGTTAGGAAAAACTTCGACACAAGATAGCAGCCATATATGGTTAATATAGATTAAATGAATTGAGGCTGCGTTTGGTGGTGCTTTATGCCTCTAAACAGGCTTTTTTAGAAGTACTTTTTTGAAAAGCACTTAAAGTTAGGCAGTTATTTGACAATATTATTTGGTTCAAAATGGACTTTTGCCAATATAAAGACAATATTATCCTCCATCATGTATAAAAATAAAGAAAACATGTATAACACCATTTTATGGCAAGGGGTTTTCAATAATCAATAAATCCATGCTCATTCTATAAATAATATGAGAAAGCGTATGAATCATACCTGGTTCATCGCAAAAAACCACTTTCGTAGGAGTTTGATTCAAAACAAACAAAAATAAAAGAAAAAATAAAAAGGGGTGAGAAGGAGTGATGGGAATCAATATTCAATCAATTTTTAGGAAAAAAAACAAGAAAAAAATGGTTCAAAATCGGACTTGGTTGTAGATTGCCGCCACTGCAAGTTGTGAGAAGTGAAAAGGAAAAGTGAAAAAGAAGATAGTGTGAGGGTTTTAGAGTCAATAGGGACATTTTAGGTATTAAAAGATTTAAAAATGGGCAAAACCGAGATGGGTCTTGAAAGTGCAAGAAACCAAAAGTTGCCCATCAATTGCATTTTCTAATGGGCTTTTTTCTAAAATGCAGTAAATGTTTCATTTTTGGTATTTAATGCAACACATTAATAACTTTCCAAGTAGGTGGTAATAGCGGGACTCAGTTCCACATATCTGCTAGGACTACCCAGCTAACGTACCAACTGAGCCACCACTCAGTTTTTTTTTTTGATAATTCTGAACCACCACTCAGTTCGCACTTATTCTAATCCCCACCTAACATGGCCTTAACACATTGTCAATATGAAGGGGTCCTTTATAATAATTTTGGCTGTTGGGGGTCAACAGTATAAACAGCCTGTGCTGTTGAGAACATTTTCAGAAATGTTACATTACTATAGTGTGGGGTAAAATAATAATTGCTTCTATTTCTTTTTAACCATAAACATAGACATGGGCCTGAATTGGTGAATGTGTCCAGCCTAAAAACACTCTTAACAGAATAGGCTGTTGGCCCCCAACAGCCAAAAGTTAACTCATCATTTCTTACCCAGCCTGGAAGTTTGTGGGCTTCGCTTGGATCCAATACTTCATTCCGAGGATGGGCTACCCCCGGGTTGGCTACATCAATCCTGTTTCAGCGGTAGGGTTTAAGCTATGAGCGCTTAACTCATTTCAGCCTTATCCCAGCCGGTGGATTGACTACATCAATCCTGTTTCACCATTCCAGTTTGATTTCATATCTATTGTTAAGTTATGAGCGCTTAAATCATTTCTTACCACTTCAACACAACATGTACTTCTTGATATGTTCTTTAGTGAAGAGCCCCCTTCCACTCACAACAGACTATTACAATATGCTTTTATCATACATTAAACTTTATTGAAGAGCTCTAGATCGAGTTTCATGAATACATTTGTGGGATACATTCAAACTTTAGTGAAGAGCTCTAGATCTAGTGTCATGAATACATTTGTGGGATACTGGGATCAATAATCGATCTTCATTTGCATCTTAAAATTGGCTTTCCTACACTTTTCACCATGATTAAATCCAGAGTCTAAACCCACTGTGGAGTTGTGGGCATTAGAAATTTCCTTTTAGCCAATCGTTTAAGTTTGTCACTTATTCCATTTTACAGTGTGAAGTTTGCTATTTGGCTAGACATTGTAGAATATCTTATTTTATTTGTTCCTTTGTTTAAGTTTGTCACTTGTTCCTTTTAGCCAATCTGTTTGTTGACCATAAACTGTTTGTTCCTTTGGTGGCATTTGTTATGTCATTTTGTTTCCAGATGATTATTCATGTTAAACATGGTTGTACATGTCTATGATGTAAATTCATTAGAGATGAGTTCAAAGCATTAATAGAAATTTATATTCTAGTGGAAAACTGATTTAATTGTAGGACTTCGAACTGTTAACTTCATTGCACATCGACTTAAATTCAGTCATGGTACCATCCATCACTGGAGAACTCTCGTCCAATTGAAATGAAACGTGTGTACAGAGGCCCAAATAGAAGCGCTCCGACAGTCTACACTCTACACAGCCAACAGAAACATAAGATGATTAATGGGTAATGACCCAGCATACAAATATTCATACACGGAAATCAAATCTCCACCTGAAGCATTGGATGGATTTTGCTCCATGATTCAATAAAAAGCCCTGGGTTAATTCTAACGACATGCAATGATGCAAGTGGTGGGACCCTGAAAACAAATTCAATTTAGCATCTTCTTCCCCCAAAAGACTGTGCAATGATGCCGAGAACTATCAATGAGACAAGGCCAATAACTGTTCTAGTAGGGTCTATTTATATTGCCGCAGGCCAAACGATAATCATTATCCTCCATTCCTAATATGTAGGCAGGGGGCTTCTGGATACGATTTTGTTTCCAACAGGAGCTCACCCATGAGGCCATGACCCAGCTCAACCATCGCTCAGGAGAGGCCCTATTTCAGGATTGCAGTAACTTACTGGAATTCCAGCAAATTGATGGCTTGCCATTGACAATATTTAACAGATATCAATAACCGTATGAGAGAACTCTTCAAAACTGAAAGCATGGTCAGATAAATTGAAAAAGGTTGACAACAAACAAGTATTACCTTATATCCAAGTTTTGATGGATGAATCCATGGTCACCCAAATGCAACAATAAGTTGCAAAACAAGATATACACTAACAATTCTATCCACTAGAATATCATCGCATAGACAGAATTTTTTGTTGCTCTCATAAATATGGGCAAAGAGCAAGATTCAGGAAAGGGGGGGGGGGGCGGCTACTAGTTTTATATATCACTCTTCATTTTGTTGGTGCCAAATCCACATTTCTTGCAAGGGTATTTAAAAATTGAGCCAAAGTGGGTGATATAGCTTCAACATTCTGCAAGGAGAAACCACATACAATCTGAATACACACGTTGAAATGCAACTAAGATGGCTCATGAAAGGATAACAATCAACTTCAGCAGCTTGCAATTGATCAAAACCATATACCAAATGGTTTTGAAGATAAGGCATTAAACATTTATATAACCATGTTTTGTTTTTTTTTTGATGAATCATTTAGAAGACCATGTTTGCAAATACAAATAAAATTGCTGGGTTTCATCATTACCTCAGGCTAGCAACAAGGTCCTAAAAAGGGATCCAAGGGTAAAGAGAAAGGCCTCAAGGCACACAGCCTTTGAAGATTGCACTGCACCCATTAGTATGTAGCTTGTATATGAAGTACTAGAAGAGACCTGGTGTTACCATAAGGGAGTGTTCGCATTCAGTTTACTGATAAAAAGCAACTGAATTGGTTGAGGGTGAGTTTAAATAGCCACATGTTTAATGTTTTCATTTTTAATTTTAACTTTTAAGAAACCTCAAAATTTTGAAAGAGTTGAGCAAGAGAGAGAGAGAGAGAGAGAGAGAGTAAGCTCATGTGGGTCAAGGCCTATAAATATTGACACTGATATTGAGAACTAACAAGTGTTGTATGGGACTTGGACTCACACCCAAGAATCTGGATTTCAATGCAGGTCCAGGAATCTTTCTTGGTGAGCAAAAAACAATAGGATACGTGGACATAAAAAGAAACTAGCTAGCTGCCACCACGAAGACTATTGCCTAAATATAAGTAATCATCAACTGGGTCCTAAATGTTAATTTTAACACAGCCAACCAGTTACATGAATAACTAGTACCATTGAAACTTAGCTTGCTAAATAACTATTTTTAATATAGGCGACAACAGTATCCCCTATTTGCTAATGTTGTTCATTCATTCATCCTACTAAAATATCTTCCTAAAAAGTAATTAAAATTATAAAATCATTATTTTTTGTGTGAGAACTAAGAATTTAAGACCCTAACATGCACTTATTTGGGCTTGCCTAGAGGGGCGTGGCACAAAGGCAGCTTGTAGAATCAGGAATGCAATATGTTTTGCATCACATTAGCTACTTTAAGTAATGCAGTTGAGGAAAAAAAGAGATTGTGGGTTTTACATACTTGAAAATGTTTTATATGTTTGATTTTATTTTTAAATTCTCATTTGAATACGCTTTACATGTTATATTTATGTATTTTAATTTTAGATAATAGGTTTTTTAAAACATCTATTTTAAAATTTAGGTTTATATTCTTTATTAATATTGTGTTTAATTTTTTTTTGCATTTTTTTATTTTTTTTGGAATTTATCAAATAAATTAACGAACTCGTTATTTTTTTATCAGCTACACAGAATTGATTTTATTAATAAAAAGCAGGCATGCATACAACAAGAGGTTGTGAAAAAAGAAAAAAACACAAAGCTGACTCAACCTAGATATTACAATTGACTTTGTACCCGTTGCTTAAATAGACCATCTGCCAAGCTGTTGGCAGTTCTTCTCACCCACTTAACTCCAATTGTCATGTCCTTTGATAACAACCATTTAAATCACCTGAAATCATTCCTCAGGTGCCATGTCGCCCCTTCCCCTTTCTTCAGCCATTTCACAACAGTTATCAAATCACCCTCAATGACTAGACTATCAATGCCCAACTCCTTTGCCTTCTCGACCCCGTATACTGCAACTAACAGTTCTGCTCTTCCCACATCTCCCTGTTTAGCAGGCCTGGAGCATAAGGCTATACTGTTCCCTTTTACCCCCCTATGCCTGAGGGGCCCAGGTTACCCAAACAACTCCCATCAAAATTCAGTTTCTTCAGCCGCATAATGGGGGTGACCATATGATGGTTTGACTAGGTAGGCTGCTAAGGTTTTTAAGTAATAAAGATGAAATACTAACATTATAAATTTCCATTGACAATCACCAAAACATGCAATTTAGCAATTTATTAGTTGATAATTCATACATGAAAGAGAATTGTGCAAAATGCACAATGACAAAATGGAGACCATGGAAACAAAATTATTTCAGGAAAAAATAGTTAAACAATAGACAGAACCTGGAAAAAAGATTCATAAGATGGTTGCCATGTTAAGTGATTCCACGTTAATGAATCTATGATTTAATGTTAACAGTAGAGAAAAAGTAATTCTACTTTTTTTTTCCTTTTTACTACCTTCCAACTTTCCAAGTGTCAAGAAGAGATACCCAAGTGAAAAACAAAAGAGAGGAAGTGTTAATAAGAAATATATAAGGTGGGGGGAACGTGGAGTCAAATATAATTTGACAAGTTATCATGATTCTAGATCTAGACATGTTAAAATCAGAACAAACATGAATTGTGAAAGGAAATCTATAATCCCCCATGACATAATATTTATAGCTTATACCATTGAGATTTAAGAAAAGGAACAAACAAAGAAATGCGACCACTATTATTTAAAAGACATTTTTTGATAAAATATATGGTATTATTTAATAGACATAACCTACTAAACGGATTTACTGATAAAAAATTTACCTACTAACAGGTAAGAAATTGAACTTGGTCCTTTTTTCTAAGGGTATAGCAACACAACAGGCAAAATAGAGAGAAGCACAGGAGAAAAAGACCTTGATTTGAACATCAAGCCATTGCCTCAAACTGTGTTAACATGTCACAGTATGGTGTTTCACGTGTAAGGCCCCACTGGCGTCGCTGCAACTCAACACGGCAATTTCGTACAAGAACTGAATAATAGTCTCTCTCAACACGTTCCTCAAGAGACAGGCGCTCTGAGCTATTGGGAGGATACTGCTGCTCAAATTTTGCAGTGTTAACATAATAGTTGACGCCCTTTTGAGTAACAAATTTGTGTTGATAGGGGTGAGACTGAGAAAGAGCATAAATGGGTTCCGGCGACGGTATAAAGTTGAAAAGAAGCATAATAAGAACGGGCAGTAACTGAATAAGAGTTCGGATATTAAAATTGCCAGACCCATGATCCCCAGTCCGAACATTCGGTCCCATGCCAGTCCTAAAAGTAAACCCTCGGAACTGAGTGGTTGTTCCAGGCATTCCCCCGAAGAAGAAATTCCTGAAAATCTCCTCTGCATCAATGTCGGCATCGTAGAAACCATTGAAACCTTGTGTCCCGCGCCTCGCCGTGGGCCTATCATATACAGGTTCCTCTGACCCTACAAGATCATACCTTTTCCTGCTTTCCTCATCACTGAGACACTGAAATGCTTTTGAGACGGCCTTAAATGCTTCCTCAGCACCAGGAGCCTTGTTCTTATCAGGGTGAACTTTCAGAGACAGTTTTCGATATGCCTTCCTCACATCTTCAACAGAACAACCTTTCTCTAACCCCAGAATCTGGTAGTAATCCTTCTGCTTCTTTATCTGCCTAACAATCGAGATCTGCTCCTCCGTGTAAGACCTCGACGATGATGAAGAAGACCCACTTGACGGCACCCTTTGCCTAACAGAAGAACTAGCAGAAGACTTACCCGATGAGGATCCTTCATCATGGGGACCACCATCTGCTGCGGGCGATTCCGAAGCTTGGGGATCACCAGACTCACCCTCCAACTTTGCTAATAGATCGTCGACAGGAAGAGTTGGATCAAGACGACGGGCTTTAGTGATAAATTTCAGCGCACGGTTTCGATCACCGAGTTCGAAAGCTTCTTTTCCAATTTTGAAACATTTCAAAGCCTCGTCTTTGTTCCCGTCCATCTAAAGTGATCAAAGAAAACCTTTTTTTTTCAATTAATTGATCAATCAACTCTGCTGGTGGATGAAAAGTATAACTCAAAAATCCAATAAAAATGCGCAAAGGATAAAATTAAAGAAATCGAAAATCGAGAGCCTACAAGAAAAAAAAATCCGAACTAAGAAATTGGACGAGATTACTTCACCTTATTGCTCTCTCCCCAGAATCGATCAATTAGGGTTGTTTCTTCTGACTCTCGTCAAAAAGGAAAAAAATCTCTCTGGGATTTTGGTCTACAGGAGAGCAGACCCAACGGCGAGAAGAACTCACGCGGGGGGACGGGAAATTTCGAGGGATGCTTAGGTCCTCTGATTTTAATAGATGGGTTGAAAATAAGATATTTTAAATACAGTAGTAAAATAATAGTTTACAGTTGTCTATAATCGACGGTTGGATGGAGATCTAAAGAGATCATAACTTCATTGACCAGTAAAAAAGGCCGGTAACAATTTATAATTGTGTCATCATTAGCACTAAATCATTAAGTATGAGCAATTTCAACCCAAGGGAAACACAGACATTGAAGGAAGGTATAAGTGTCTGTGGGAACTAGGAACCGAAGGACAAGGAGTCGCCTTTCCGGTTTTCGCCGAACTTTTGGCGGTTCGACGATTCCCTCTTCAATGAGAAATAATGGAAGAGTTATTTGAAGCAAGTCGGATTTACAGAAGAGGTCAGTGTGTCTCCTCTCTCTGCTTCTCTCATGTCGAAAACCATTCTCTCTCGTTTCAAACCCCCACAAAAGCCAAAATCACGACTTCCTGTGGACTTCCCGTCTCAAAGCCAACTCAACAGTCTCGTTAATGACGTCTCCGAGATCCTTAGAACCCATGAGCACTATGAGGAAAGTCTAGAAACCCGGTTCTCTGAAGAGGATATCCTGGTCTCGGATGCAGCTCCCGTAGTTCTCGATCGACTTCGAGATGCTGAATTGGGTCTGAAGTTCTTCGATTGGGTTTCTCGGCGACCATGGTGTTCTCCGGATCCTCGTGCTTACTCTTCTCTTCTGAAGCTTCTAGCTCAGTCGAAAATGTTTTCGGAAATCGAAACCGTGTTGGAAAATATGATGAATGAAGAAAAATTGCCTACTCTTGAAGCTCTCAATATTCTGATTAAAGCTTATTCGGATTCTGGTTTTGTTGATAAAGCTGTTGAATTTTACTCAGTTGTAGTTGAAAAGCAGTGCTCTTTTCCGAGTGTTTATGCTTGTAATTCATTGCTCGATGCGCTTGTGAAACATCGTCGAAGTGATGTTGCTCGTCGGATATATGATGAAATGCTTCACAGAGACAATGGTGAGATTACTTGTGCAGATAATTACAGCACTTGTATATTGGTGAAAGATTTATGTAAAGAGGGGAAGGTTGAGGAAGGTAGAAAGTTGATTGAGGACAGGTGGGGAGAGGGTTGCATTCCTAGCATTGTCTTCTACAACACACTCATTGATGGATACTGTAAAAGAGGTGATATTCAACAGGCTAACAGGATTTTCCGAGAATTGAAAATGAAAGGATTTTTGCCTACAGTAGTATCATACGGAGCTATAATTAACGGGTTCTGTAGAAAAGGGAATTTCAAAGCAATTGATCGGCTTATATCAGAAATGAAGACAAGAGGTTTATGTGTTAACGTGAAAATCTACAATAATATAATTGATGCTCAATGTAAGCATGGTTCCATTTCAAATGCATTAGAGACTTTCAGGCAGATGATCAGTAGTGGTTGTGAGCCTGATATTACAACATACAATTCAATGATTTCTTCCTTATGCAAGGAAGGGAGAGTTCAGGAGGCTCATGATCTTCTAGCGCAGGCAGTGAAGAGGGGACTGATGCCAAATAAGTTCAGCTATACTCCTCTAGTACATGGGTATTGCAAGCAGGGGGAGGTTGTCAGGGCCTCAAATTTGCTCATTGAAATGATGCAATGGGGAAATAAACCAGACTTAGTAACTTATGGAGCTCTCATACATGGGCTTGTGCTTGCTGGTGAAGTTAATGTTGCATTAACTATCCGTGATAAAATGATAGAACAGAAAGTATATCCTGATGCAGGTGTTTACAATGTTCTGATGAGTGGGCTTTGCAAGAAAGGGATGTTATCTGCTGCAAAGGAGCTGCTTGAAGAGATGCTTACCCAAAACATTTTACCTGATGCATATGTCTATGCTACACTAGTTGATGGGTTCATCAGAGATGGTGATTTAGATGAGGCAAAAAAGCTTTTCAATTTTATGGTAGAAAGGGGTATAGATCCTGGTATAGTTGGGTATAATGCCATGATTAAGGGCTACAGTAAATTTGGAATGATGGGAGACGCAATCTCATGTGTTAATAGAATGGTCAAAAAGTGCATCCTTCCAGATGAGTTCACCTTCTCCACAATTATAGATGGGTATGTAAAGCAGCATGACATGGGTAAGGCACTTAAAATGTTCCACAATATGACAAAAGGAAAGTGCAAGCCCAATGTAGTTACATATTCTTCTTTGATTAATGGATTTTTCCTGAAGGGAGATTCTCACAGAGCTGTAGAGCTATTTAGAGAAATGCAGTCTCTTGGTTTGGTCCCTAACGTTGTCACTTACAGTATTCTTATTAGGGGCTTCTGCAGGGAAGGTAAAATTGCAAAGGCTGTGTTGTTTTTTGAAGAAATGTTGACTAATAAGTGTAGACCCAATGATGTGACATACCATTATTTGATAAATGGACTCACAAATAATATTGATGATGATGCTGTTTCCACTACAGGAAATGGACCTGAAGAGCATGGAAAGTCTCTGGTCTTGGATTTGTTCCAAAAGATGATATCAGACAGATGGAATAACTATACTGCAGCTTACAATGCTATTCTTATTTGCCTTTGTCAACATAGAATGATCACAGTTGCCGTGGAATTGAGAGATAAAATGATGAAAAAAGGATATCCTTTGGATGTTACTTTTGCAGCCCTACTACATGGTGTTTGTATTGGGGGAAGATCACAGGAGTGGAGGAACTTCTTCTCTTGTAATCTGAGTCAACAGGAGCTTCAGGTTGCTCTCAAGTACTCATTGATGTTAGATCAATACCTCCCTAGTGGAATAACTTCTGAGGCTTCTCAAATTTTATTTGCCTTGGTTGAGGAGTGGAGTTATGATAAGCAGGAATATAATAGGAAAGAAATGACTCATGTAGAAATTTCAGCAATTTAAGGAGAATGAGGATGGTATCAAATATCATATTCTGGGCCTTCTGAATTCTTCAGCCGACCTAACTGGTTTTTATTAAAAATGGGATAAGCTACAGTTGGTAGATTAATAATCTTTGGTTTTGTGATGTCTTGGTCCAGGCATAAGCTTGGGTGGGGTGGGGGCTGGGGAAGACTATGTGCTTTTTCAGTTGGATTCTGTGTCAATTTCCATAACACTATGGAAACGAGTCAAGGTAGGGGAAAGTTATTATTGGTTTTGCTCTTTCTCTATATTATTGAATATGCATAGTGACTAGTTGCATTGATTGGTAATTAAGATAACTGGTGTTTGTGTAGGGAGAGTGATGTTGGTGCAGTGAGGAAGTAAGCCAACTTCCTAGGTGTGCAGTTGGCTTTAACTACTGATTTCCATGAAGAAATCAATTTTTTTTGTTTTTAAATGAGGTGGAGACCAAAATGGTTTTATTTCCAAGGTAATGTAAAGTTAATGCGTTACTGATATTTCTATTTGAGTGTACTGTATGCTAGTGATGATTTCTAATCCTAGTCTCTCATATGGCAGTACAAGAAATACATTAGCTTACAATGTTTGTGCAAGCATGATTGCCTTTTCCATTGAGAGATGGAATCAACTCTTATTGGAACTCATAGATAATTCAGTACTCATTAATTACTTTGTTGTAAAAATGCAGATACTCTACCTGGTAAAGAGCTGGATTCAATGCTTACTAAAGTACCTTTGTTGGATGCTCTCAGACTGAACGAAATACTTGTATATTCACTTCACTTTTATAGAATGAGCTGCCTAGTAACCATCTAATTTATAGAAAAGCCTGATGTGATTGGTAATTCAGGTCTTTCATCCATGATCATATTTTCTTTTTCCAAATTTACCCTTATGAATTATGAATTTTTAATTTCTCCTGTGCTGACTCATAGTGTTTTTGTTTCTTCCTTTAGAGAATTTGCCCCTGCAAATCTTTGTTCAAGTGGTGTCAGACACCACACAGCACGATAGTTTGTAAGGCAAGTGTTTGCATTGTTTCTTACTGGTAATTAATGATGGAGAAGAGCAAAAGAGGGTTTCTGGAGTATGTTTACATCATTTATTGTGTTATCTGGACTAAAAGGAATTTATTAGATTTTTTGAAAGCCTAATTTCTCAGATTTCAATGGTATGCTTCAATTGTATTATTCATTGATTTGAGAATTTATTTGCTTAACCTTCTTTTTTTTTGATAATGAACACTTGTTAATTGAAAGGGTTCCCAAGTTGGGCAGATCATCTCATTTGAAATCCAGGGTTAGGGTTTAAGGGTGCTCAAAGTTATTAAGGGTTTTGGATTTTGACTAAATTCAAAATTCAATATTAAAACCAGGTTTTAATATAATTTGTATACCGTCTAGGGATTGTAATGATCCAAAAATACACAGCTTTTGATGGTTTCAAGCTCACCAATACACTAATTAAATGTGGCTATATGAGTGAAGCTTAAGCAATTTGTAGGAGACCATAAGAGAATCCATCTTTGCCACATTTCTAGCTGGATCTAATGCTTCACGGGTTGAAAAATATCCATGAACTGAACTTTGCAAATTGGTCAAAGATGCACAGAAATGATATTCATCAACTGTGTTCCTTCGATAGAGCCACACTTGAGTCCATTAAGCACTGAAGTAACTATTCATTGAAGCTCTGAAGCTCTGAATAGACTCCAGAAACCTGTTATAGCCTTTTTTTTCTGATAAATTAAAAACAAAACTTGCTAAATTTGACTACAATTACCTAAACATTTCAATAATAGTTGGCTTGGTCTGTTTGCACTGCAATTTCATTTGTTTTTTGAATTATTTTATGGGTTGCAACACCTAAAGAACACACTTTCAAAGATGGTCTCATCAATATAATCTTCAAATGCTTTAAACTAAAATCCTTTACTTTAGTGGATCGACAGTCAAGGCTTTACTCTTATGATAAGCCAAAGAAATAACATAACTCTGGAAGATGAGCTCAAAGCTGACATAACTGAAAATAGAACAAAGACAGGGAACAAGTTAATCAAAATCTTCTAAGATTTCACAAGAAAATGGTACACATGTAGTGTATAGGGTCATACACTGAAATCATCAGGGCATATTTTTATCAGAACTAGAGGTCCATCCAAACACAAGCCTTTAGACCCATTTACAATATATAACTCTAGTCAGACAGAACTGCATATCATAACAAGATTTTCAGCTTAGCATATTTCTGTACATAGTTTCAAATTTCAAATTATAGGTTTTCTAGGAGGTCATTACCCATGAAGATTTATATCATGACCTCTTGGGGTTTAAGCTTTGTTGGGGGAAATGAAATTGCCATGCACTTCCCAGTTGATGAGAGAAAGCATGCAACCCCACCACTAGAACTTTCAGGACAACAACAGAGAAAGCAAACCTAAAGTAAAGAAAAGGAAAACAAAGCAGGATTCAGGCTCTTTGCTTTTGGTATAGAGAACGATGAAATGAAATAAAAGAAAAAACAAATGGAAATAAAACCTGAGATGGTTATAAATATGGTCAATCAAGTCCGCTCCATTTCAGTACAGTTTTTTCCCTTTATTCTAAAAAAATTGGAGAGCTACAGAGTGGGGATCTTTTACCATTCCAGGACTCTCCTTAGCCATGGCAAGATGTCTGAAACCCACCCTAGCCACTAAGATGAGATGTTTCCATGGGTATTCATATTCTTGAGGGGTTCAACACTGATAGAACTCAAAAAGAGAGAGACAATTCACAGAAAAATGGAGTGATAATTTACTTATAAGCATGTAGACTAAAAGAATTATTAGTTCCCCATTTGCAAATCCTGTAATCTCTAATTCTGTCCTTGATCTGTCAACAAGAACTCAACCTTTAACATTTTTTGCACTAAGCGGCTGCCATGAGATTCGAACTTGTGTTCTCAGGCTTGTCACATTGCTTAACCATACACAGTAAAGATATAGAAAGACTTTATGAAACAGAAATCCTTAGCTATGCTTTTGAAACAGAAATCCTTAGCTATGCTTTTGAAACAGAAATCCTTAGCTATGCTTTTGAAACAGAAATCTGTAATTAAAGAACCTATATCTGTATTAATTTTTTATGGACCTTATGTCCAACTATATAATTGTTGCTTTCTCATTTGAAGAGTATACTGTTTTTCAGGCTACATATCACTTTTTCAATTCGAAGAAGGGAACTCCATTTGCGGAAGATAAGGGCATGTATAATGGATTGACTTAGTGTTGTGAGTATATCTCAACAACATTGGCTTTTCAATTTGGTCTTTCTAAACTTTAGTAGCAATGAAAACAACAATTGTATAGAAGTAGAAAGCTAAAGATAGTATCATTTAGAAGTCAAAAACCCCATCAAATGACATAGAAGCTAAAGATAGTATCAGTGACAATCTGTACAGGTATGGTTTTTACCAACAAAACTAAGGTGGTTCAATCTTACCTACAAACTTAGTGCCATATAAATTGACTTGAGGCAAATTAATTAGCCAACCCATTGTAATACAACATGTTAGTGAAGGGGTATTTCGGTCTTTGTACCTGTTGAGATTGCTGAGTTGTTCTATTATGTTAGTTCGAGTGCCTCTTACTTAAAAAAGGGCACTGATGTCTTTTCCTATCACATTAATAATATAATAACAGGCCTGGCCGAAAGTAGGGTTGAATTCTTCCCTAATTCGAACCAGACCTTTTCTCTCTTTCTTCCTTCTTCTTGCTTGCTTGCTTTACTTGATTGCTAACGGACAAACAGACTTCTAGGGCAGGCCGAACTTCAACATGGTATCAGAGCCAAATTAAACAAATCAGACTTGCCTAGAATTTTGTCTTCTATGCATTCGACCTAGGCTTTTTTTTTCTTTGATTTCTCAGCTGTCGATTGGAGATTGGGAAAAGGGCTGAAAAGGAGTGATCGCCCTCTTCCCTTGGAGGTGTCTATGCCTTCGGTTGTGTCGTGTGTGGTCGGTTGTTGTGTTTTCTAAGCCCTCCCCTAATCAATGTAGGGCTGGTACGTGTGGTGCAGTGGGTGTTTTCTTTCTTCGTGTGGTTGTCCTTCAGGCGATGAGGTAAGGAGTTTCTTTTATGCATAATTTCTGTTATGAAGCACATAAGAGGTCTGGTACAGATCGTATGGAGGGGTTTCAGATTGTAGTGTGCTAGGGTTTATGCTGGTTTGTGTGTCATTCGAAGGGAAGTGGTGTTCACATAGTGGTGAAACTTCAGGTAGCTGTAGAGTAGGATTTGTGGTGTTACAAGTGCAACTTTCAGCACTTATTATTGCTGAAATCAGTGTGCAGAATTCAGTGAAGTGTCTATGTGCAGAATTCGGTGATAAAAGAATTCAGCAATGGGAGATAATAGTGATAGTAAACCTAATGTGATGATATCTACTGACTACCTGAATGTCCAAATGACCTCTATTAAACTGAATGGAGAGAATTATGTCCCTTGGGCTAAGTCTGTAGAAGTTTTTCTGAAGACAAAGAAGAAGGTGAAGCACATAAGAGAGGAGAAACCCCCCACTGATTCTCATGAGTACGAAGGCTGGGAACAAGAAGGTGCACAGATCATCACGTGGTTATGGAACAGTATGGAACCCAGAATTAGTGTGAACTTCATGTTTCTTGACACGGCCAAAGAGGTGTGGGATCATGCTAAGAAATTGTATTCTGGTCAGGACAATACAACCAGAGTATATCAACTGTATCAGGAATACTTCAATCTGCAACAGGGCAATCAGAGTCTTGAGGAGTACTATGCCAGTATGAGAAACATCCGTAATGAGTTGAATGTCTATCACCCTCTCACTCCTGATGTCAAGATTCAACAACAGAGGGAGAAAATTGATGTGACTCGGTTTCTAGTGGGGCTGAAATCCGAGTATGAACCAGTACGAGCCCAAATACTACGGGGATCAGCCCTTCTATCTTTAGATGAGGTGTTTGCTCGACTTCGAAGGACTTCCATTGGATCTATGGAAAACCCT